CACCCTCCATCCCAGAGCCCCAGCCCAGCGTCCCCTCCTTCTCAACTACTGAAGTCCCCGAAAGGGACCCTTCTCCCCCTCCTGAACGAACTAGCAGATTTACGCTCGTCGAACGAACCCGCAAGTCCATGTCCCTTATCGTACCACCCACCCAACCCCGGCCAAGAGAAAGTTTCCGGTCCCACCGACATCGGCCCTCTTTCCCCATCAACCAATTCGAAACTCCCCAGAAATCACACACCATTCCCAGTCGGGCCTCTACGCCACGCGACGAGCTTTTTGACGAGGAAGCGGACTACGCCAGCGTATTCAAGTCGCGGCCCCGCGTGGCGCACAGTCCGGTCGCATCGCCGGCAGTGCACATCAGCCCCATTGGGGATTTCGATCTGAGTCCAGACGAGGAAATTGACCTGGACGGGGGAGACGAGGAGTATGTGCAGGATACTCCGTTGGCGTCGAGGCGGAGGGTTTTATGATTGTTACGTCGGTTCATATTTCGTTTTGGCTTTATTAATTCTTATGTGTGACGTTCTTTTGGGAGACCATCATACTTACCCCTCTTACATGCCTATACCTACATATGATTAATGTTTATAGATCCTGGATGAAAGCAGTACACGATACAGCAATTGATTATTATTTTAGTGAGATACGAATACACTATCATCATGCTTTTCTGCAATTGATCAGCAATCCCTATCTATGTCATTATGTCGTCCAGTACCTCCGTCCCTGTGCCTGGTACATACCACCAACGCCAAACATGAAAACATACAGACAATTATACATACATGAGTTAACAAAACAACACAATATCTATCGACGACCACCCCTCCTCGTACTTCTCCGCGTCGGCCGCGGCTCCGGCTCATATTCCGACTCGGACTCTGCATCTGACTCCTCTGAATCCGGTATCTCTACGGGAGACGAGAGCTCCGAGTCAGAACTTAACGAGATCGGATTCTCCACCTTGCCATCGTCATCGTCATCACTATCAGCAATCTCCGCATCAACAACCTCCGGTGTGGCAGGCTCAGTCGGTACATGCTGCTGCTGTTGCTCATGATGATCAACAATCAATCCCCCATCATCATGATCATCTCCCTCCTGCCCAGGAAGAAGGAATCCACCGCCCCGATCTACATCCGCCCCGTCCTCATCCTCACCAGGAAGTAGGAACCCGCCACCATGGACTTCCTCGTCGTGCTCATCCGGAGCAGGGGCAGAAGCAGAAGCAGAAGCATCTGGATCAGGCAAACGACCACGACGATTTGTAAACGGATTATGAGCATCACGCTCATGATCCACCCCGTCGTCCGCATTCCCACCATACTCCTCCTGTACACGCTGCTTAATCCGCAACCCGAAGAGAAACTTCCGCCAAGTCTGCAGAATACGCGCCTCGGCTTTGCGCTGCTCCCGCTTACGTTTCTCTGCGTCATCCACTAACCAGGCATCTTTAACGAGGTCCTCGTTTTCCGCAGCGACAACCACGCCCTGGATAACAGGGACAGCCATCTTCGACCCGAACTCGAAGCCTGTGACTGCTTCTGCATAATCGACGCCGAGTTTCTTGCATACGCGCACAGTTCCAGGCCAGGGAATATGGACCGCACCGCGGGGCACCATGCTAGGGACGAAGCAGTCGATATTGCCGTATTCGTTTTTAGGTATGACACCGTCACAGATGGGGTCTGGAATGATGTATTCCGTTTGATGGATGGCGTAGAGGCCCTGTTTTGGCTTTTCGCCGTTCTGGCGCTCGAATTCGTCGACTTCGCGTTTGCGGAGGAGAGTGACGGCGCGGATGGGCACGCGTTTCAGGGGCATCTCGCCAGCCTTGGGTCTTCGGCCTTCTTTGTGCCAGCTCTCTGCGGATAGACATTTCAGGACGTCTTTGCGTCGGAAGACTTTCTCTTCTTTGGCTTTGGCCCCTTTGCCTGTCTTGAAGGTGCGGACATGTCGCGCACCGGGTTTGAGAGCTTCTTCGCGCCGGAGGAAGCGTTCGAGGACGAATTCCGTGGATGTGCGCAGGCTTTGGAGCGTGTCACCTTCTTTGCCGGGTTTGCGTTCGGGTTGGTTTGGGAGGAGGTCCTTGGTGTCTTCGAGGTCGTCGACGGCGGTGCGTTGAGGTTGGGCGCGTTGGTAGACGCGGAGGATTACGCGGAACCAGTCGACTTCGTAGTATTTGCCTTTGCGGCCTGGTATGGGGATCTTCTCGACGGGGATCCGGTAGCCTTTGGTTTTGCCAGGCCAGGTGCGGCGGCGGAGATAGCGTGTTGTCACGTCTTTGGCAGTCTTATCGGACGAGTAGGCCACGACGTAGCAGATAACTTGCTTGGCTTTTTCGGCTTTGCCGCCGCGAGGTTCGAAGGCTGCTTGGAGCTCGGGGGTGGTGGCGACAGGGTTGCGGAGGATAAGCGGGTCGACGGGGATGATTTGGTGGGTGATGGGAGAGGCGACTTCGGTCCAGTAGATGGGGAAGGGCAGGTCTTCGTCGTATTTGCTGAAGTACTTGCTACGGGCGGGCTTTGTGTCGTCTTCACTGCTGTCTGACTCTACGTCAATGGCGTCTTCGGTTTCCGCATTCTCCGTCGATGGCTCGGTGTCTGCGCTTGGCTTGGTTGTGTAGGTTTCGCTCTTGGTCCAGCCGAAGCCAAGGGGCTGCAGACTGGCGACTAGTCGAGCTTCGATGTCGAGAGCACGCAGCAGAGCCGTGAACAGCTGGGCGCCTACGTCACGCGAGCCCTGCATGTTCTCGGCAGCCTGGCGGAACTCCTCAATGCTGGCTATTCTTTCGCCGTGTTTCTCGGGATCGTGGTCGTCCTTCTGGAAGGACTTGATCTGAGCCTCCAACTGAGCCATGGGGCGATACCCCTGCTTACGTAGCCCAGGAGCGGTGATCTTGAACTTGCTCTTCCAGTAGGCAGCGAGGACCTTGAGAAGGATGATAATGGGGTCACCGCTGCTCATGTCAGGTTGGCCGGGTTCAAGTCGCGACGAGCCTTCAGCCCAATCCCGTTCTGATTGACGACGCTGCTTCCCTTTTCCTTTCTTCGACTTCTTCTCGGGCGGTGGCTCTGGAGCCTCGAGGCCGGATGCAATGCGCCATTTCTTGACCTCTTTGTGTATGGGTTGGGGTAGCTTGCGGCGCAGGATCTCGTGGAGCTGGGTGTCGTTGGCCCAGACATTGCGGATGGCGTTGTGGTGGAGCAGAAACTGCACATGTAGACAATGGGTTTGGATGCGGATTTGGCGTTCGATCTTTGACGGGCCCTTTTTCCCTTCGAGCAGATCAGTGAGGTGGATCTCGTTCTTGTCTAGTGTCAACTCCAGGTCCTGGTGCTGGTCGGGGTTGAGGATGGAAGGCGTGGCTGGGGTGGCGTTGGCATTGGACTCGATGGCGTCCTCCCAATCAACCTCGTCGGAGTCGCTGCTTTCCTCATCCGATCCATCCAGTGCCTGGGGAGTTTCCGTCTCTTCGGGAACATCGCTCAGGGACGATTCGGTGTCAGTGTCTTCGATGACGGCGGCGATGGGAGGCGTCGCATGACGGCGTTTGGCGGCGGGCGGATCCTCGGAAGAGAGACGCTTTCGGGGGACGTATGGGGGCATGCAAGCAGCGGAAAGCAGGCGACTAGAAACTTAGATTTAATCTAGAGAAGAGTAAAAGAAAGAAAAGAATATGCCAAGGTAATGGGTGGTGGATAATGAAGGAAAAGTTGGAGGAAGGAGAAAGTCGAAGGGGAGGTTCGCGCCATCGAGGCTCGGCTTCTTCTCCGCGTCTCCCCCATCTTTATCATCAATTCACCCCACATCTTCGTCATCCTCCTCTACTATCCTTCTGTCTCACGAATCATCCTACGATTCCTTTCCAGACTATCTGTGCATATCTTCTATCATCAGTACGATCTCGAAATGTCTGCTACGATGGATGCCGCGCGCCGCTTCTTCCTGTCGCCGCAGTTTGCCGTGGCGGGGGCCAGTAACGATCGCAGCAAGTTTGGCTACAAGAGTAGGTCCCATTGCCATCACTTTGCAGGCCGTTGCGCCGGCTGACCAGCAGTCTTTGCTTGGTATCATCAACACTCTCTGCCCGTTACTCCCCTCAACCCCCGCGCCCCTGAGATCGAGCTGCCGTCGCAGACTTACAAGACGGTCGCATCGCCCCGCGCGTTGCCCAACCCCGGCCAGACTTCCCTGTCTATTGTGACACCTCCCCCAGTGACCCTTGCCCTTCTCAAGGAGGCCCACAGTGTGGGGATCCCCGCTGTCTGGCTACAGCCAGGCACGTATGATAAGAGTGTGTTGGACTATCTAGATGGTCATTTCGAGGCAGCGGTGGTGGGAGACGGTGGTGTGGGCGGCGAGGGTTGGTGTGTGCTGGTGGATGGAGAAAATGCGTTGAGGGAGGCCCATCGCGAGTGGAAGGCCCAGCTGTAGTTAGGCTTCATTTGAAATAAAGAACTAGGAACAATAGTAATATATGCTGTTGCGGTGAACAAAGTAACGGGGAATGAAGAAATGGTAAAAAAAAGAAAGAAAGAGGGAGGCTGGCGGTGGCTCTTCTTGTTGGGGACAATCCCGTGTTTTTTCTCCTCTTCTTTTCTTCTTCTTCTTCCCACCTCATCTTCTTTTCTCACCTCTACATCTATCTGTCTCCATCGCGCCCACGTTCTTTTCTCCATCATATGCAACCCCCTGCATCTCCTGTCCTTCCCAGCCACTGCTCGTCCCCCCACCTTGAAGAAGGATGCCAGCCAGTCCATTCTTTCTCGAGTCCCCCATTCCTCCGCAACTCGATCTGGCCGGCGCTCCATCACAGCTATTCCAAGTTCCGCCCACCCCGTCAGCCTCATCAGCTTTATATCGCTCGATCTCTATCCCCAACCGCAAGAGATCCCGTCTAGAAGTTGATCGTCGTCCTTGGCTGGATGTCGACACCCCCTCTAATCATGTTGCCTCTGTGATCTCTCCCGACGATCTTCTCCTCGGCGTGGAGGATACCTCCGTCGATCACGTCTATCGCCCCAACCGTTATCGCAAACCTCGGTCTCTCGCACTCGATGACAGTGTCGAATCTCTTAGCGAAACCGTGGATATTCGCCGTAAACGCAGCCGCTGGGACCCGTCCTTGATCGAGGCCTCTCCGACCGGTCACGATGAAAAAATGACGATCACGACCATGACCCCAACTACGACCACGGCTCCTGCCGTCGTTCCTCCTGTTGATTACCCACAGCCTGCTCCCGTTCGCTGGAGTCGAGCTGTGCTCGGTGTGGTTGGCAAAGTCTGGGACTTTTGTTGGAGCGGAGCTTTCCGAGGGTTTTATGCAGGCGGTGGGCAAGGCTATACTATGACGGCGGAGGATGCACAGCCCCAGCTGGCATCCCCATCGATCGAGAAGGAAAGCATTTCCACTTCTCAGCGGCAACAGGGTTCCTCGAGCCCTTTCCCGGGACAATATCCAGAAGATGATCTCAAGCACAGTTGGGTCTTCGTGTCCGCGCGCGAGGAGTTTATGGACGAAGCCAGCCCTTCTCAGCGCAGACGAGTCCACCGGCGGACCCCAGCACATACCCACTCCCGTCGGCGGTCGCAGGGCAAGCGAACGCTGATTTCGCATGCGCCGTCTATGCCGACGAAATTGCAATTTTCATCGCCAGCCAAGCCGCGGGAGAGCCCCGTGTCTGTGGAGACGCAGCGCTACATGGCTCAAAAGCGTCGCATGGAGCGCGAGGAGGATGCCAGCCTTGCCCGGTTGAACCGGCAGCTACAGGCAATGATCAAGGAAGGGAAACAGGCACTGGGGACCCGCGTGGAAGTGGACGACTTAGATATGGAGGATTAGTGCGCTTTTTCACTTTGCTTTTTTACGACATGTGATACTCTACTCGACCCTGATACCCTTCGTTAAACACCTAGATGACGATACTTGACGATTGGCGACGCTCGTTACGACTACGAATCATGAAACCAACCGATAATGACTGGCGTGGATCTGTTTTTTCTCAAACCCGATTGCGCGTGTGATACGATATTGTTATAGTTAGCTACCATTAGGACAAAACAGAACCTGAACCTGAAACCATGAACCTTATAACTGCATCAATCATTCATCATCTCATACCCCGAACTTCCTTCCATATAATACCAATCTCACTGCCTTTCAGCCCCATCCTGAGTTCCAGCTCCCACACCCGCCGAATCCTCAGACCCATAGATAGGACTAGCCTGGCCATCCCCGTTATTATCATTACCAGAACCAGGCCCTTTATCATCACCAGGATCCTCATCAGCAGCATCATCATCCTTCTTCGGACTAGGATTCAAGAAAGGCAGGTGCACGCCAGACAAGAACCCCGAGAGTCCTCCTTCTTTGGCCAGCCCGTCGAAGAGGTTCTCGCCAGAAAGGCGCGCCGCTTTGCTTGTAGACTGTGGGGTTGTCAGCTTTTGACTTTCATTATGTACTATGACATGATACGACGTAAGATAGAAACGTACAGGAACTGGCATGGCCACTACGCCCATGACAAGGGTAGCGGGCACAGCGAGGGTGAGGAACTTCATTGTCTTTGTGTTTTTTGCTTTGGTTTCTGGGTGGGATAAGATCCAAGGTAGATGGATGAATGAATGAATGAGCGACCGAAAGAAAGAAAGAAAGAAACCCAGTCGGAAGAGAATAACAGACGGTATTAAATCCTACCATCTACATAATATCTTATGTGTGTGAATCTGGCATGCTACGCGTCAGTATCCATCCCCCCCTTGATTTGTTGGAAGACGCGGTGCCTGCATTCCTTGTCTGACAGTCTATCTACTAGTTTCTAATAAAATAGGGTGGGTTGTATGGCTGCCGGCAGGGGGAAAGGAAGAACACACATAATACTGCCCTTTCCTTCTCTCCCTTCTTCAAGGCTTGTTTGTGTTTAGCTCATGGTTAGAGTTGAGTACGGAGTCCTTGGTATACATTAGGACCGTTTTGTCTTTCTCGTGTCTTGGGTTAGGTCTCAGTCCATGTGTTAGGTTTACCCTTCTCCTGTGGTTAAGAGCATGGGTAGTAGAGTAGGTAAGGTAGGGTTACGCGGTAGGGATGGACCAACGAACTGAACTCCTTGACAATCTCGAAGTCCGAGTCAGTTTAACTAAGTATAACTGGTTCATGAGGTCTGATTTGGATAACTCCGATTGTTGTTCACTTTTGTGCTTGTCGATGTACTTCAATGAGAAGGGAAAAAGAGGTAGTCGAGTAATGAGGCGCATTCTTGTGTGAGGGGAAAGAGGAGGGAAGGAGAAAATGGCAAAAAATTGACCTACGCAGGACTCGAACCTGCAATCTCTTGATCCGTAGTCAAGCGCCTTACCATTGGGCCAGCAGGCCAGTTGATGTATGTTTGCGATTTATTTGTATTAATAAAGCTAAATATTGTTAACTGATATCCCTGCTTCAATGGTAGTTCATTTGTAATGATTCTTACTCTTATTTCATCACCTTATTATTAACAGAAGAAAACGTGGATCCCTTATAAAGTATTGGTTCCTCTTTGATATATCACGCTGTTTGATTGTTTGCTAGTATTTACATTCGTTATTGAGGAAACAAATCGACAGCGATATGTGACATGCATGTATCGATAACCCATGTCCTCCGTGCTGTACATTATCACTTCAGTGTTGAGTATGACCGTGCAGGTTTAAACAAAAACATCAATATTCGTATAAATCAAACGCTAACCAGACGCCATCGCTATGCTCACAATATTGGCCAAACAAAGATTCATGTCATCTGCGGCTGAAATTTGGGATTCGTCCGGATCCTCTCACCATACTTGAGTAAGAAAAGCGAAGCTGGGACAAACAAGAGTGCGATAAACCCTAGTAGGCTGTTTCCCCATCCTAGCCCGAGGGCATCGTACAAAGGAGTACCCGCCAACGGGATCGTAGCCCCGAACAGGCACCGCAGAGCCAGCTCCGCAGATACTGCGCTGGCAGCATAAAGAGTATATGAATCAATCAGGTACACCTGTGTAACCAGATGAACGAAGAAGATGCCTGCACCCACGAAAAAGGTCCCAGCGATGGGAACTATCCAGTGCAACCGGTATTCTGCGGCCCAGCCGTACCAAAAGAGTCCGATTGGGACGAGAATGCATCCGACCACTAAAGGTGGAAGTCGATCTTCTGGCTTCATCTTGCCATGGATCTTTTCCTGCTTCTTGAGGTATCGATCGGAATAGTATCCCACGACGATCTGTCCAGAGCAGAACCCGAGACCCAGTCCCAGGTAGCCGAGACCTGCTTCGCCGGGAGTAAAACCGTACACATTCTCGAAGACGCTCGTAAAAGTAGTGAATAGTGTGTACATATAGCTGTAGGTGATGGAGCTGTACAAAGAAACGATCATAACGATGGGTGATAGGAAAAGAAACTTGATCGGACGGCTGATTGAAATCCAGATAATTTGGCCAATCTTCTTATCTATGTCGTATTGAGTTCGGAACGGACGTCCAGTCTCTTTCTGAAGTCGCTTCGCCTTTCGCTGGAGCAGCGTGGGTGCATATGTCTCCCGCAAAAATATAAGGGAAGCAATCACGATGATCCCGCCCTAATCACATTAGAAATTTGTTTAACGATACGGTATCGAGCCAACTTACAAGGATCGCCTCTATCCAGATTGTCCAACGCCATCCGATATTTTGGACAATGTAACCACCATAAATCGGTCCTGTGACCATACCCTACAGCAGAAATTAGACCCGCATTGATGGTTACCGTCTAATGGGTAGATTAAGACTCACCATGAGGGGACCAACTGTCCAGATCGTCATTGCCGTCCCTCTCTTCTCCATGGGAATCATATCCGCAACAAAGCCTCCACCGACCGTCACAGGTACGGAACTGGCTATGCCCATAACGAAGCGTGCCATTATGAGCATTGATATGTTCACACTGGCGGCGCAAACAACTGCAGCCACTGCAAATAGTATATTGGCCAGGTGTGTCATGGGAAGTCTCCCGCTTATCTCAGTGAGAGGCGTCAGAACCAGAGGGCCAAGAGCAGACCCCATCACGTAAATCGAAATCATAAGAGATGAAATGGATGGGTTGTGGACATTGAACTCTTTCAGAACTTGCGGCACGCCGGGAGCGAATACCGTGGATACCATAGATCTGGGACAGTCAATTCAGATGCTCGTACGGATGCATAGTCTTAGCGTAGACGTGTCGGACTCACACGTTGAAGCTGCTCAAGGATATCAACCCGATAATGACCCATTTCCGCAAGGTGGTCCAGTTCATGGGGTTCTGAGGGTCGTTTGGCCCGTCCCAGTCCACAACGAGGTCATCCTTGTCTTGGGGATCATCCGATTCTAATGCACTATCTTGTAATGTGACTTCTCCTTCTTCAACGTGCACAATGTCTTTCTCCGCAAAGATCGTATCAGCACTCTCCAGGCTAGTCTCCTGGCTTAGAGCGGCGGAGTAGTCAACATCCCCGGGTGGCGCCGTAGGCATGTTAATGATCGGGGTGGTTACACGGGGATAGTAAGAGCAGCTGGAAGATCAGGGACAATGGCACAGATGATTTTCGACATGATTTCCAACAGACAACCAAGGCAATAAGTAGCCTGACAGCCATGCTGGGAAGATAGACAAACCAGGTAAATTGAGTAGATCATTGCAGACAACGCGCGTCCAGACAGTAGATGAGTCTGGCATTCCGGCCCTTGCTGTCCCTACCGTGGGTCTCTCGTGGCTCCCTTTCTCTGATTTTGGGATTACCTGTCGCAAAATTCGCCCAAGCGGATTGTTGTGGGTACAATAGGCGTAAGACGGATCATCTAGCATAGGCAGGGGTAGTAGCACTGACGACTGTAATGGTATCCTTGCGTGACCAACTCGCCTCTGCTGCTTATCAACGTTTGCCCCATTAGGATGGAGAATAAGCCTTATCCCATAGGAACTATTCTTTGGGTAGCCGTTCAATATTCCCCACATGATCCACCATGGCGCAGAGGTCCCTGACCCGGCTCTCCTTTTGTCATTCGCAGATCGACATATCACTTCAGGAATCAGGGACAGTGATCAAAATCCCATATGGCAACTGCTCCCCGGGAAACCATTACCGTAGGATCGCGTGGCTTTGATCTCAAAATAGCTAAAACAAACTGAATTAGTTCCATCTATTGTCGAATATATGCAGCCACAGGTCGAGACCAAATCCAGTACCCACTGATGGATGCCTCCAAGCATTGGTCGTTAATTAGGTGATCACCTAGAATTTGGCCAAAATGGTCTCAAACGTTGGGTCTACACATTTGGAGGGGTAATATCGAAGAGACCAAGTAGCTACTCTTCTGCTGCTCCATGGGCGTGCTGATATCAGTGACGATGTTGAGCCTGCAACTAGCTCCGCGCGGCCCTGAAACAGGCTTGTCAGAGGGCTGAGCTCATACCTGAGGGCATCACAGCCATAGCATGTTTTGGCCAAATATGTAGATCAACCATCCGGATTGGCAGTCCTAGCTCAGATCCAGAAATGCTTGGTGAAGACACCTCAGCAGACAATTCTCATAATAGTATAGTACTATTGGACGGAAGGCGGGAGATCTCCCGGTTGGCCCATCGGCTGGCGCTTTGGACCCATTCGTTCCCAGTCAACGCTTCGGCATTCCTCCCAAGTCATGCCCACCAACCGTCGCATCTATGGTCGCTCGTTGTGGCAAGTCAAATGCGTGATATGGATCTTCAGGTCCACATCCTAGTTAACATATAGACCGAATATGCAAACGGAGCTGCGCCAAAATAGAGCTTGCTAGAAAGCTTATCGTCCGGCCGAGGTCAAGCGGTTAGAATTCATCAGATTTCCGCAGCCCCGGGTTCAGTTCTAGCCCGACAGCATCGAAGTCTGGACAGCGGTCCTAAGAGATTCTATCCACTCTTAACGGCGATCTCCCTTAGGGAGCCTAATTGATTGGTGACAGCTGCTGGGATTATTGCCTCGGGTGGGTTCGGGACTGCGGGCTAGAAGCTTATTCAGATTCCGATACACCAAAATTTGGGGTTATGTTCCGCTATGATGCGTTGATTTTGCTGCGGAGGTGCGGTTCTGCACGATTTCCTTCCGTGCTGTGCTCTTCAAATCTCGTTCTAAGAACAGGTGGACATTGAGCATTGCAAGCAGCAGGCAGTCTTTCCATGCAATGTACATTCCGTCACTTGCTGAAGCCACAGTGGGCCTTGCTACCCCGTGGCAATCGTAACCAGACGGTGGCGAGGCCGAGGCTTGCGTGCGTATCTTGTAGATCTGTGGCAGGTTGTTAACTCCCGAGTCAGGATGCCGAGTATTCGCCATAGCTCACGAGGTCAAGGCCACGCAATATCCATTATCGAAAGAAGCAAACTTCTCAATTGCATAGCATGAAGATTCAACGAGAGACGGGAAGTCTGCAGGACTGATGAAACTCGCATGCACGGGACCGTCCCGTGATCCGTTCCTTCCTTGAATTGCGAACAGCCTCAAAACATCCACCGTTTTGAGTTTCTACATTCCGAGGTGTATCTGCCCAGAATACTACTACTTCCCACCCTTTCTTCCTCGCTGGTTCCTCGCTGGTAGGTACTGTTACCTGATTTGGGTCACAGCATCAACTTCAATTGAATAAAGCTGCGGGTGATTGTCGGAATTGCAACCGCCGAGTGACCTGTGAGACTGAATAATGGCCCTTTCCATGTCAGAAACACGTTTCGACTAGAGTGATCGACCTTACCCGGGTTGCCTCAATTCTGCTTAGTCTTCATTGGAGGAGCCAATTGCTCAACGACCTGCACGGTACTTGTATGTTCTTCTCCGATCTATATAGTACTATATATAGATACGTCCCGAGTCAGCCCGAAGATCAGCACGCCGCAGAGCTTCAACTGAGTGCACTGCTGTTCGCATGTGGAAATGAATTATCGTTGCTCGATGATGATACTGGACTACGCAGAACTTGATGCTTCACAGGCTCGAGCCGTGCACATTCTGCAACGAAGTCTTTCGGCCTCAGAGAGCCTAACGTCAACGCTAGAAGTTGAACACACCCCGTAAGGGATACAAAACTAACCAGTAGCAATAAGTGGCTTGAACGACGATAGTTACTGGTTCCTATACTGTTTGTCTTTAATCGCTCAACATCGGGTCTTGTGAAGTAAGAAGTGTCAGGACTGGTAGATGACATGTCCACCACGCGTTGTATTGGCGAAGGTGAGCCAATTTCCATCCTTTGCGGTTCAATTCTGACATGTAATCCAGTGAGCCAGCTAGGACGGGCAACCCGGTTCAAACCTGGAGCAGAAGTTCTTCTAGTTTCCAGACTCGAAGATGCCACCGAATCCTTATGCCATGAAAGTTGCTCTGTAGGAAGAATGCGGTCATCGCCTCAAAATCTGCAAGCCGTCTCACAGAAACTTGAAGTTGGACTCAATAACGTCAATATTTGATGTTCATTTCATGTCATCTTGTCACCCGTCTACGCGAATGACCCGTGAATCCACGGTTAATAGAGCGCTTTAGCATGGAGATGACGACTATACATAATTCCATAATCCTCTCAGACCATACACCCATACATCATCATGAGCCAGCCACTTACGGCGAGAGACACACAAAGCGTCTTTTCCAGCTCTTGTCGTGCTTCCTTCATCTTCATATACCCACCGATACTACAACTTCCATCCACAGGCCAGCACGATACCGAAAATAAAGCTCGCGATGGACCCACGCCCAACTCCTCTTCCGACACCACCTCCCTCACCTCAACCAGTCCCTCAGCCGGCACCCCAGCCTGGACCGCAGCCAGGGCCTCAACCGGCACCGCAGCCAGCACCGCAGCCGCCACAATCAGTTCAAACTGCATCAGAAATCAGTTTCGATGAAGATCTCTCAAGCCAGTCTGGGTCCATCGGCCAAGATGCAGAAGCACAAACACGTCTGGGCCCCAACCCACCACCACCCTCTTCCACCTCTACCCCAACTACAAACCCTAGTCAAATACTCACGGCAAAGTCCGCCGTGGCATCCGCAGCCAAAGAGCTACGCTTGATCCGCAAGGTGCTCGAGCCCAAGGAAGCAGGCGAAGCGTCTTCGAGCCGGGCGGTTTCTCCAGAATTTCACGGCGGCAGTAGTAGTAGTGGCAGCAGCAGCTACGGGGACCCGTCCGCTCTCTGGCGCGAGTTCGATAATCTGGAAATTCACGCCACCAGAGGGGCGGGAATGGAGGTAGGGGTGTTAAAGGACCTTCTGGAGCAACTGGAGGCATTACTGAATGATGCGCGAAACCAGTTGATTGAACTGGAGGTCCAGAAGGCGCTGTTGGAGATGTTGCTCGCCATCTCGAAGTATCGGGGCGAGGTAGAGGATTCTAGTTCGAAAGAGGGCTAAGAAGTCCTACTACTACCTTGTAGTCATTCGTCACTCGTTTGCTTAGCTGCTACATTGTTCCACTTGCTCACATTGCTTATCATTCTCTCGAACCATAACGGAGCCCAAAGAACTATACCAATTTGGTTTAAATTAGTTTCTTAGCTGAATCTATTGCTGTTCTATACACCATATCCCCCAACCCACCAACCTGATAACAAACCACCCACCTAGTTCTCAAAAGGCAAGCCCGACTCCTTCCTCACCGATCCATAAACCGCCGCAATATCACCCTTCTCCCCCTTCTCCGCCTTAACAGTCTGCAAATGATGATCCGTAACCTCCACACTCCTCAACCTGACCCCCGCCTCCCCAGCCAAACTACTAGCATGTCTCAAATCCTTCCTGGCCAAATCCACCGCAAACAACGGCTCCTCCCTAGTATGATAATCTCCCGTAACCATGCGATCAGCATACAACGCAAACGGCCCCGGGAAAAACGTATGCAAGAACTGCTGATACACATCCGCGCCCAAACCCGTCTTCTCCGCCGTAACCAACCCCTCTGCCACCGTCTCCACGGTATTCAAGATAAACGTATTTCCGAGAATCTTCAGCGTCGTGGCGCGGCCCACGTCCTCTCCCGCCATGGAGATCGTCGCCTTGGAAGTAACCCCGTCCAGGAAGGGCTTGATGCGGTCGATCGTGGCGGCGTCACCGGCGGGGACGACGACGAGTTGGCCGGCAATGGCGGCGGCGGGGGCGCCGAAGACCGGGCAGGCGATGAAGGAGGCGCCGTGGGAGGCGAGCTGGCGCTGGATCTTGCGGGAGGTGTCGGGGTGGACGGTGGAGCAGTCGACGATGATCTTGGAGGAGAGGGAGGCGGTGGGGAGTCCGGAGATGATGGCTTCGAGGGCGGCGTCGTCGCCAACGCAGATGAAGATTATGGTGGAGTTGGAGATGGCGTCGGAGAGGGAGGTGCTGACGGTGGCTTTGTTGGCGGGGAGGGTCGAGGCGAAGTCGGTGGCTTTGCTGGTAGTGCGGTTGTAGAGGGTTACTGGGGTGGTTTGGGGACCTTTTTGGGCGATGTTGGCGGCCATAGCCTTGAATTGGTTGGTTAGTTGTCTAGTTGATGGTGGGAGCAAGGGTGGTGATGCAATGAGGGGCAGATGGGGGACTTACGCGGCCGATGTTGCCTAGGCCGATCCAGGTGATGCGTTCGTTGGCCATTGTGGTGGTGGTGATTGTGATGAGGAGAGAGGAATTGGAAGGATTAGATGGATTGTAGGACTTGTTGGGTGAATAGTAATTGAAGCTGGGGGGGAGAAGCTGGATTAAATACAGATGGAGCAGGGCGAAACCGGATGCGATGCGGGGAGAGGGGTTCAATGTTTAGCCGACATCCACGGGTCGTTCTATTGGACAAAACACTTAAGTATGGAGACGGTTCAGTGGAATTCTCTCTTCATATTCGCTAAGTGTAGATGGATACATGCTAAGCTCACTGAGTGGACCAGCTTCGGTCTATCCGACAGCCCGAACAGTCGCGGTTCGCTGTTTTGTTCAATGCCGAAGACCGGGATGCCCCGCCCGCGGAGTCATCCTTAACTAGTCAACTAGTCACTTAAGTACATTGTAGTTAGTTTATCTTCACAAATTCAATTCGTCGCTTCAGAATGCACTTTTGTCTTCGCCGACACGAGGAAAGGAAAGCAAATGACCAATGTCATCCTCGACTGCGGCTCCGAGTATGAGGAGGCTCCCAGGGCTGGCTCAACACCTCGAGAAGTCTCTCATACGCAACCACGCGTCCATCCTTGAACGGCAGCTGCCCGGCGACCTGCATGGCCCGCATGCGCATTGCATGGGATTCGTCACTAGCAGTCACCACACGCAACAGCGCATCTCCCAGCTCCTCCCCACTCACTTTCGGCGCCGACCTGCGGCTGCCCCAGATGCCAATCCCCAGGTACTCAACTCGTGCAGCATAGTCGTACGCGTCAAACCAGACCGGGAGCACGATCTGCGGAATCTCCGCCCTAGTGGATCTCGGTGTTAGCGCTGATTGCACTCGTTCCACCGCAGGTACAATGCAAACGAATGCGTAGCCGTAGAACGAACCAACTTACCTGACAGCTTCGTGGAATACATTGGCCCCGCCATGATGCACCAAACAAGTAACATGTCCACTCATCAAAAGTGACATGATCTCAAACACAAACCGCTTCGCGATGCGCATACGTTTTCCGTGTATGTAAACCCCCAGAAGCTTAACGATCTCTCTAGTCACGGCCGGGTCCTCGACGTGCTTCAGCTTCCAGAGAACCTGCATATTGAGCTCTTGCTCAAGAAGCTTCTGTATGGCCTTGGCAATTTCAATCTGCTGCTTACCGTCGTAGCTGAAACGGGAGTCCATTAGGACCAGCACAGTAGGGCGCTTCGAAAGCCAATGGGCCAGTTCGGGATCCTCCTTCACCATGGGGCGATAGCGGCGAAGAATAGGACCGCAGAGAGTCATGTGCTCAGGCACAACCAGCGGGAAGTCGGTCTCTGGCCAGGAAGGAAGGATGATACGGCTACTCTTCTTTGCTTCGTGGGACAGGAATGGGACAGGACCCTCAATTCCGCGGGCCTCGCGGGCATCATTGACCCCCTTGAGGCTAGCGCACTTCTCGAGTTCGTGCTTGAATCGAAAACCAAGGAAGATGTTGCGAAGCTTATCCCAGAGCGACATGGGCATCTTGAACCCAGAACAGATCCTACCACAGTCAGCCAATGCTCACCCACCAGCGCAGGTAACCTCACATAGGATACTTCATCAGATCACTCAACTTCCACTTCACCACATGATCCTTCACCCCACCCGCCCCCAGCAGGACATGTCTCCAACGCAAATACCGACAGACATCCACAGCCGGAGCAAAAAGCGGATCAACGACGATCAAAACCGGCCCAAGCGTCTTCACAAGTTCAACAACGGCATCAAAGATCTCCACATAGTCATCACCGGTCCAAGGAAGCAACCCCAGAGCCAAATCCTTCCTATAATTCTTCAACGCAGCAAAGAACCCAACCTGAGGGATATCATCAAATTGGCCATCTCTCATCCGGACATGCTTCATAGACATTCCAGGGATCTCTTCAAAGACTGCCTCAGTAGCGCAGGGAGAGCCTGAAGCCGCAGCATAGTAATTCAACTCCGCGATATGCCTCTTCAGCGGTCCAAAGGATCCGATGTGGACCTTGTAGGGCGAATTGCCAATGAGGAATTCATGGACCACAGCGAGGGTAACGCCCGAATGTTCCCGCTCGCTGTTCGTGAGGAAGAGAATGCAGGGTGTGCTGCTGCTTCTGCTGCTGCTGTTGTCTGCTGAGCCGTATCTGTATGTGTAAGACATGATGGCGATGCTGGTTTTGTAGTATGGTTTTCTGAGAAGTGATAATATGGTAAGCTAAGTAGGTATATGAGAAGCAAGATGAGAAGAAAGAGAAAGTAGTATGTACTTATCTTCCATCTTTGCGGGCATGCATCGAAGAAAATCAGCTGCGTTCATGTATGTGCAAAGTGACTGTCTGGCGGGGGGAGGAAGTGAATCCAAGAACACGTGTTGACGGATTGAAGATGTGTGTATGTGAACTTTTGTCGTTACCATCCGCCTTTCTGATATGGGGGAGAAGAACACCTCTGAACAGTCTCGGAAGGCGTATCATACTGTTTTGGAATGTCTCCGCTTGATGTTCTGAATGTCTCCGCTTGACAGTGAACGAAAGGCTTGATATTGGGATCCGGACTCTCACAGTGAAAGCGAGTGTTCGTTCTGAGGGAAAGGTTGAATACTGGGGAAGAATTTCTGTCTATAGTCTATGTCATTAACATTATTCTATGTCTCTATATAGTAGGTATATCAACGTTCAATCACAGCGCCGAGGAAAGTAAAAGATGGCGATGCAACCCTGTAAGTGCAATACTCGAGGATGAACCCTATTGACATCTTCATGGAGATCGTGATCATCCTTGCTCCAACAGTGCCCTAGCTACCCTGCTGTAGCCGGTTAAGCGGCCCTGACGCCCCAATTGTCATGTCCACGCATGTGCTGCGAAGATTACAGCCCTCTGATGTAGGGCTATATGTAGATGCCGCGAGCTTTCCAGCAGATCGTTCTCTCGAACGTATCCAGCCGCACTCCTAGTAAATGCACACAATGCACATAATGCATATCTAGGTGGATAAATCGGCGGCACATCTTTAATGGTGCCCTAAGGACCGTTCATGTGATATTACCTCACAGGCTCAAGTGTGGAGCATGCCCTCATGCCTTAGTCGAATTCTTCCTAGGGCGGCCGCTGATAGTAGAGTTGCAAGTATTGACTCGATCAATATCATACGGATTCTCCTCATATGTGACTGTACGAGCAAGAGAGCGAGCGGACTTCTTGGAAGCACGCGACGCCCGCCTTTCGATTGCACCCCTAGAAGGCACACTGGAAAGGCTGTCGCTATCACTGTCATCACTGTTATCGTTGTCAGCCACAGCGGCAGTGTCTCCTTTCTCCACATCGGACTTCGCCGGCGGAGGGGCTTGGCTCTGCTGCGCCGCGGCAGCAAGTCTCTGCATGAATGCCTCTGCCTGGGCAGCATAGAGGCAGCGCTTGCGGATGCGAACACCATACAGGTAGAACACGATAGGGAAAGGAATGCATGCAAGCGACAAGAACGCGGGGATTGAGGAAGCCCAGTGAATACCGAGGTTTTCGTACATGTAGGTCGTGAACAACGGGAATGCAAATCCGAACAAAGATCGGAGAGCCGAGTTCGCGGCCAGCACCGATGCAGCATAGATCGTGTATGCGTCAATGAGGTAGTTGAAAACACTCAGGAACACCAATACCAAGCCGAATCCGAACGGGGCCCCCGCGGCCACAGATGCCATCCAGTGAATGGACGGATAGTTGGTCCAGGCAAACCAGAAAAGACCGATAGGTAACGCGATTCCTCCAAGAATACTTGGGGGCAGACGAACCTCGGGAGGCAAACGGCCGTTGGCTTGTTGGCACTTCTTCGCATAATTCAGATTGTCGGGAATAGTGAGAGAGACTGCGATCACCATCCCGACTAGGATACCCAAGAAAGCCAAGCCTCCAATACCCTCACTCCAGCCGCGTGCCTGCTGGAAGACGATAGGATAAGCTGCAAACAGCATGTAGAGCGTTCCATAGATGATGGACATGTAGATACAGAGGAGCAGCACAATGGGCTCTCTGAAGAGCATGAGCCAAGGTCGTGACAGGGCGGTCTTCAATGCTTGGCCTAAAGCCACCTTGCCTCTCTCGATATCCAGTTTACTGCGGTAGACCTTGCCACTCAGTTCAGACAGCTTCTCTGCCCGTCGGCGCAAGAGAACTGGAGCATATGTCTCCGGCAGGAAGAAGATAAGGCATAACCACATCACGCCGGAAAAGGCTGCCAGAAATCCTTCCACCCAACGCCAGCCTGCCCCGGCACCGAGAAAGCCACCAATGACAGGGCCAATAGTAGGTCCACAAAGAGGTGCCGCGGCGAAGAGACTGATAGCAATACCACGTTTGGCAGCGGGGAACAGATCTGCAATCGTTCCGCCCGCATTGCCAAAAGGTGACGATCCAAAGAATCCGGCCAGGAAGCGAAGGATGACCAGCGTTTGAATGTTCTTGGAACCTGCAGCCCCTGCATTGAAGGCTGTGAGAAGCGCAAATGTTACCGAGAAAACATTACGGCGTCCAAACACCTCGCTCATTGGAGCCCATAGTAGGGGGCCAAAGGCGAAGCCCAAAACGAATAGAGAGATACCGAGGATTGCAACCTCTTCCTCACACTGAAACTCTATAACAACCTGACTTATACTTCCTGAGTATGCTGATGATACCAAGGCGACAGTAAGGGTCACGAAGGAAACTAGAATGGTATATAGCCATTTTGAAAGACTGCCAAAAGCCATGGGGTTTCGAGGATCGTTAGGAAGCCAGGTGACGACATAGGGCGATTCTTCCGTCCCTAACCCTTCATAGTTGAAATCGATGATCTCCGGGGTGACGACTTTTTGGTCGAAGACAAGGCGCCAATAAGGGATCTTCGAGGGCCGAGGAGCGCCGCCATTGGCGACAGTACCTGCCATGCCCATAGTGCCCGTTAATTAAGGTTCAGCACAACGGCTATTCTGCAGAACGGTGCTGGGCGATATGAGGAGTCGACCCAATAAAAAGGTATACCTCAACTTCCTCCAGCAACTGCTAGAATGAGAAAAAAGAATGACGAATAGATAGATAAATGTAAAACCACAGATATGGTCTAAGATTGAACCGGCACAACTTTTCCGATTACAATTTCTTCGTTTATCCGGTTACTCGGCAGGGGCGATTGCCCTCAGCGAATCAGGACTCGGAATGTGTTCGGGGAGCCGAGGTTGCTTCAGAATTTGCTGTGCCTGTCTTATCTCCGCCCAATTTCCGCTGTTCCAGTACTTCTCGTTGCTGCGGCTGCCTAACGAATCCTTTATTCTGTTCGAGGAAGCGATAAGGCCACATGTTCGAGAGCTTTGGTTGTGGAAGATCAGGATCAGGTTGGCTGCGTTGAAGTATTGCTTCGGCTGCGTTCCTTTTGCGTCAGCAGTCTGAGGAACGCCAGCCCAATCCAAAGAGTTGCGATCCTCAAATAAAGATTTATAATGAGCTTCGGTAAGCTTCAGAATCGTGGGATGACGAGTCAGTCTGATGATTAATCGTGAACTCTTCGTCGTAAGCGATCATAGTTAATCCCAAACTCCTCGCAGCCTTTCGTATGGAAACGGGGTTCTCGGTATCCTTTTTCCATGGTAGTAGTCCGTAGCCTCTTTGTCTTGATCTTCCAGACTCTTGTAGACAGACGACATGGTTCAGTTGCGTATTTCGCGAAGAATGTCTGAACAGTTCCATTGAAAGCGCTTAATACGACACGAGGAGATGCGGGGGATGCGTTGAGCTGTGGCATACCGAAGATGTCAGTGTGGGGCACACATGGTAACAAGGGAATGAATGGGCGTCGTAGACATCAATACAATATCTTCAAGCCGCATTACTTGAGCATAGAGCAATGTGTGCCTGAATTATGGGAGCATGCTTTGAGTTTAACCAGGCCTTGCGTTTGTCCTGGATGCTATTGTGAGAATCAGAACGCAACCGTTAGAAGTATATTTCTGTCTGACTGACATATGCCAAACTGGTGCACCCCCAACCAAAATCCTTCTAATCCCAGCAATTTGTTTCCGGAAAATAAGATCAACACTTACTTCCAGTGTCTCAAACCTTTAGAGGAGACTTGTACCCTCCCTTAACTAGCACAAAACAAGGCATTATTAGTCCCCTAGTCGCTAATGTTGGCCACGGCATCCATACTAGACATACAACGTTGGCATTAATAGGAAAGTCTGTTTTACAAGCATAGAAATACAAAGCTAAAGTATTATATCTATACGGCTCATTACTTCATTAAGAAGAGAGAAGTCGTAGCAGATGTACATTTATTTTAATGGTTTACATTTGTTCTTTCATGTATGAGATATTTATTGAGAGGGTCCGACCGATTAATCCCTGCAATCTTGTTTTCCGGAAAACAAGATTGCAGGGATTAAAAATCTTAGGTGGGGGCTTTATGCGCTTCCAAAGTAAGCTGACAGCAAAGGGTGGTCCCGTGTTTGCTCGCGTCCTTGGAAGAGGTAGAGAGCAAGCAAGTGAACAGTATCGTCTGACCGGACCGAGATCTAGTCACCTCTGACACAGAACCTTAATATTGCTCTAGAATGCATACTCTGCAAAAGAAACGCTATAAACGAAAGACGTATAAACATGCGCCCGGACCGAGATCTCCGCCTCCGTATCACTGACATGTCTACCTGTAAATACCTCTATCCAAGGGTGGGGGTTATAACTACAGCTTTATAATAGTTCTGCTGTTCCTCCTGCGATTTTTCCAAAGTCAATAGTAAGCGAACAGCGCGTATATGTAATTCTAGTCATCTGTTAGTGTATATAGTTAAAATAGGAGAAGGGATCATCATACCTTCGATTAACAATTCATAGCTCGTGAATTCGTCGTCGTCGCGATGGACGAGAATTGGCACATTTTGGTTCATAAGCGGTTTCGCCTTGACCCGCACTTTGATGCCGACACCCTTGCTCTGATCGACCCATAGCATTTGCGAAGGCCCTGTACCATCAGGTACAATATCCCGGAAGCGCTTCTCTTCGTCCCTCAGCCAGTCGCGGAAAACCCTGATTACCCCGTCCTCAACCGTGTGTGCACTTAGAAGCAGATTCGTACCCGGCATGACCTTCACAATGTTCACAACCATACATAGCTGAGAGAAGTCTTCAGAGTCCTTGAGGATTATAGGGCGCGTGACAACCAAGTTGTCCCGATCGGATTCTTGCTCATCGTCTGCCAAAGTCAGAGACTTCGGGGCCGTGACCACTGTGTCCGGGAACAGGGATACATACCTCTTAGGGGAACTAGCCTTGTTCCGCTAAATCTTTCTTCTACCACGACTTCAGGACGGAACCGAGAATACACCGAACTCAGTTTCCCAAGTTGCTGGGTCGTGTCGGGATTCTCATAAAGCGAACCACCCCGCCCGGAGAGCCAATCTAAACCGTCGGTGTCAAGGTATGTGCAGAATACATGAGGTTCGGTTAGCTTTGAGTTTGGATGAAAGCATTCTAGGATGAGTTTGTATTCATGCAGTGGAGCGCCGATGAGTAGGCGATAATGTAGGATCCGTAGGACGAGGGCGTAGAAGCGGTGAGAAACTGTCGCCCAAGAGATGAGGGAGCGCGTCGAGAAAGAGGATAGAATCTGACCGAGAACCTGGAAGAGCCATACAAGCATTAGCGAGACATCTTGACAACCGTTGGAGATCGCGTTGTCGCACTTCGTTGGGAAGAGAGTAGAGGTGGAGCTTTGGATGGGCGTCGTCCATGATCTGATCAACTGCGGGGAATATGTGTGAATCTCATATCTTCGCGCAAGCAGAATGAACAGAACACAATTCGTACACAGCAGTAACAGCAGTTCAGTGGAGCCCAACTGGAGGGATGTGACGTGCGAGGGTCAGATGATGCCAGCGAGCTTCTCCGGGGATGTGGAGGTTTCGGTGATAACGGGCGATAAGGCTAGCCAGTTGCCCCTCGTTTCCCCTGACGTCAAACGAATCGGCCCGAAAGAAGACGGGCAGGTGACTGTCTGGATTCGGGTAGCCGCGGGCTTTAGTCACCAGTGGGGTATGCGTCTGATGTTCAATTCAACCGGCAGACATGCTGTGCAGGTCTGTTGATTCTATTTATCCTAGATAGACTAGCAAAATGCAGGAGTCCAATGGTATGAGTTGATATCCTAAAAACATGGAAAGGATATAAGTATGAACAGTCATACCCCATCAAGATTGCAGGTGCTGCAGCAAGAAAAGGGTCCAGGGCTCCCCATGAATTTACCCGAGCAACCGACCGGATGGCTGCTTTTTACCCCGTGCTGGTTCGGTGCCGAATCGCCCATAATTTCCGGAGACCCCGCGACTAAGCCCCGCCGCCAGGGCCATCAGCCGACTTTTCTTTTCACGCAGTTTCTTCGCTCTTCTTTTTCTCTTTCTCTTTCTTTTTCTCTAGTAATACCACGGCTCTTCGATTGCATTGACTGTTTGCATTATCTCAACAATGGTTGAACACGTTCTGGACGATATCTCCCATCGGAGGTTCAACCCCCTTCGAGGATCCTACATTCTGGTCTCCCCACATCGGACCAAGCGCCCCTGGCAGTAAGTTGGCCTGCTTCTGTCCAACAGAAATGGACATGGACCCATTCAGAGAGGAGCAGCTGAGCTAAATGCTGCGATCAGAGGACAGCAGGAGAGCCCCTCTAAAACTACTTTACCAACCTACGACCCCGCTTGCTATCTTTGCCCCGGAAACAAGCGCGCGCAAGGCGATACTAACCCTAAGTATGAGAAAACCTTCGTCTTCGTAAACGACTACAGTGCGGTCAAGGAAGAACAAGCGCCGTATAGCCCTGAAGGTGGCGAGGGTATGTTTGGCTTGTAATCTCATGGCCCGGCGAATGCGACGCTAACAATTCGAGGACCAGACCTTGAATCATTCTTCCTCAAGGCAGAGCCTGTCACCGGCAAATGCTATGTACTTACCTTCTCTGCGGCCCACAACCTCACCTTGGCCGACCTTTCGCCTGCTGAGATTGTGCCTGTCATTGACGCTTGGACTGAGATTTACACTGCCCATTTGTCCCCCAAGTCGCCCTTGGCTGCTGTAGCTCCAGCGACCACCCTGCCTCCAAATTCCCCAACTGCTAGCTTGACCAAGCCCAAGGAGCAGTATCGCTACATGCAGATCTTTGAGAACAAGGGTGCTGCCATGGGGTGCTCGAACCCTCACCCTCACGGTCAGGTCTGGACTACCAGCTCTTTGCCCGAAGAACCGGCTATGGAACTCGAGCAGCTGAAGAAATACCGCCGGGAAAATGGTGGCAAGCATATGTTGGAAGCCTATGCTGCTCTGGAAAGCCGGAAGCAGGAGCGCGTGGTGTTTGAGAACGATGCCTTCCTTGTCGTCTGCCCCTGGTGGGCTGTCTGGCCTTTTGAGACCATGATTGTCAGCAAGACCCACAAGCGTGCGCTGGTCGACTTAGATAGCAGCGAGAAGGTGCAGCTAGCGGAAGCCATTGCCGAAGTCACCAGACGTTACGACAACCTCTTCGAAACGCACTTCCCGTACAGCATGGGTATCCACCAGGCACCACTTGACGGAACCGAGGAGGAAATCGAGTCGTCATATCTTCACCTTCACTTCTACCCCCCGCTATTGCGCAGCGCCACTGTGCGCAAATTCTTGGTCGGGTGAGTGGTTATAAACCATCACGTTACGGTAAAGATTGCTGATGAGTCATAGGTATGAAATGATGGGCGAGCCCCAGCGTGACATTACACCCGAGCAAGCGGCTGCGAGGTTGCGAGGCTGCGGGGGAGAGCTCTATAGGAAGAAGATGGACAACTAAGATCAAAGAGTATTGGATCAAGCTGGATTGTATGTTGTATACCTATGTGTTCTGACAGCAATGAATACTTGCATTCGTGGGTCCATCGGACCAGTCCCGGCCGGCTTCTATGTTTCGGACTTGTATCGACTCCTGTCATCCTCCCTCGAGAAAGGGAGCTAACCGGTTATGCGTGTCTCAATCACCCACGCGCAATTAATGACTTGCACCCTTACTTCGGCTCAGCCTCTATCCCTTGCCAATTCCTGCGTCATCATGCTCGTCCTTTCCGATTTCTCCACGGCCCACCCGTCCAGTGATCTGCTATGAAGCGGCTGAGGTGTGCATTCGACGTAACTTTACCTCTTAGTTTGAGGGGGTGAAACATGGTTCACCTCTCATTCTTTGAGGCGCCAACTATCGAATTACGAACTTTGCTTCGCCTTCTACGTGCGCAAACCTCATCATATGTAGGATACTTTGCCGGCCAAAACACACTATACATCATAATCGTAGAATAAGCGAGTCACAATCTGTGCCTTCACTGATACATCGCCACAAGCATTCCTTTGCCTTTTCATTACATTATTGTTCTGATCATAATCTAGCCGATCCGTAGCTCATCCCTGCACCAAGAGATTGAACATGCACAGAAAAAAAAATATTCAGCTGGATATCCGGCGAATAATATCAAAACCCCAGCACAACCTAAGCAGCCAGATACGCCTCCCTCTGCGTCAACATCCAAGCCAGGGTAGACGAAGCAACAATCAGAGGGCTGACAAAACGCCCCTTAAGCTGCGCACTACCGAAGCCCAACCACTCGCCGACAAAGTGTACCAGAGCAATGCCAAAAGTCCAGAGCGCGAGATCGTAGACAGCAGGGTTGTTGAGGTTATAGGCGGCGTACATGCGGACTACGGAGGAAAGGAAAGTCCAGGTACCGAAAGTCCGAGAAGAGAGAGGGTTGGTGGGCGGACGACCATCAGCAGTTTTTCCGTTGTAGAGATCTGCGGCATAGGACTCCGATCGGTAAGCTTGGATGCTGTTTGCGGCGGAGACGACGGAGACCTGGATGGAGAAAAATGGGCAGGTTAGCATGGGGTCGGTCCGGGGAACGGGAGTGTAAACAATGGGGTTAGTACCAGGAAGAGCCATTTGGGCAGCAGACCCTCGAATGGGGGTAGGTAGGAGAGAAGAGCGGCCATGGTTACTATGATATGTAGCACTCCGTAGTGTTTGAGAGAACTGGCTGCAGAGAGATAGAGTTGTGGAGGATCAATTGGTTGGGAAGACTGATAATTGCGATGAGGATATTGCTTCTTTGGAGTGGCCGAGGTCTGCCCGCTTGGGAGGTCTTGGCACCGCCAATCCCCAACCATTATTCTGCTTTATGATTGCTGCCGCATCCCCGTCCGTCTCCGGATTCTTTCTGCAGCCAGCTTCCATCCCCACGATCTTCAATCGGCACGGGTTGAACAACAAGCAACCATGGACTTTCTGACAAAACATCTGGACTGCCTGTCCAACTGGCAGTTGAACCTGCAGCCTGGCTGGCAGACGGTGGGCGCCTCGGCTCTTCTCGCCGCTGGCAGCTTGTTCGTCGTCTCTCGGGCACTCGTTTTCGTCAGGGTCCTCCTGAGCTTGTTCGTGCTCCCTGGCAAGCCCGTATGTTGTCCCTGACAATCTCAATTGGAGACTATATCACTGACTTCCAATCTGCCAGCTCCGCTCCTTCGGCCCTAAGGGCAGCTGGGCCGTGGTCACAGGTGCCTCCGATGGACTCGGCAAGGAATTCGCTCTTCAGCTCGCCCGCGCTGACTTCAACATCCTCCTCGTTTCCCGTACTGCATCCAAGCTTGATACCCTTTCCAATGAAATCACAACCAAGTTCCCCTCCGTGCAGACCAAGACCTTGGCGATGGACTTCGCCCGCAACCAGGACAGCGACTACGAGAAGCTGAAGGAATTGGTGGATGAATTGGACGTGTCCGTCCTGGTCAACAACGTTGGAAAGAGTCACAGCATCCCCACTCCCTTCGCTCTGACCCCCGAGGATGAGATGACTGATATCGTGACCATCAACTGCCTGGGTACCTTGCGGGCCACCCAGCTGGTCGTTCCGGGTATGATGCAGCGCAAGCGCGGATTGGTCTTGACTATGGGCTCGTTCGGTGGACTTCTCCCCACTCCTCTTCTTGCTACCTACTCCGGCAGCAAGGCTTTCCTGCAGCAATGGTCCACTTCCCTTGGTTCGGAGCTCGAGCCTTACGGAATTACTGTCGAGTTGGTCCAGGCCTACCTTATCACCTCTGCTATGTCCAAGATCCGCCGGACCAGTGCTACGATCCCCGACCCCCGCTCATTCGTGAAGTCGGTCCTGACTAAGATTGGCCGCAACGGCGGATCTCCCACGTACGCGTACAGCTCTTCCCCTTACTGGAGCCACGGATTGATGGCCTGGTTCTTGACCTGCGTCACTGGTACCATGGGCAAGATTGTCGTTAGCCAGAACAAGGGCATGCACGAGTCTATCCGGAAGCGTGCTCTGCGCAAGGCCGAGCGCGAGAAGGGCAAGAAGAGCACCTAAGGTGCTTGGCAGTCGCTTCTAGATGATGACTCACGTGCGTTTGTCGATCAAACTGGGGTAAGGGGAGAGATAAACAAAGGAAAAAAGGGAGTATGGAGAAGAACGAGCCGGTGGGGGGAGTGTCTGTGTGTGAGCTGAACCCTGAGCTGAATCTGTATCCACTGGGGACGTGTGGCGAACAGTCTCGGGATTCGGTGAAAGGTGCATGCAGCGATGGAGCCAGATCGAAGACCGTCTAGATAGGAGCGGGCCGCATCTTATCTTCAGCGGAACAAGCGGCAGTGGGAGTGGCAGTGGCACAGGTCCGGATGGACCTTACCTTTTACAAAGTACTCTACTAACCTACACGTGGTGTGTGGTGTCTGTCGACAGGGCCAATTAAACCTCCGACCAGGGGGTTGTGGCTACGCAACCCATGATCGACAGCACCAAAGATGATATGATATTACTATGTTTAGCAGAAACAGATAGCATAAAGTACGGTTAATCTAATAATGCAGAAAGGGAAGATTTCCGCAGTTATCTCGGTGCTCCATGCTCTTTCATTCTACTGACAGGTCTAGTCTTCGCTAAGTCTGTCAAATGCGCGCGCGCATTACAGAGAATCCAGTGCAATGAATGAAAGCAGTGCAACTATGCAGATATCCACCGAGATCTCGGAAGTCGGAAACTGCACATCAAAGCATAACTGAACTGAACTCAATCGGACTGGACCAGGCCGGACCGCATGGATGGGGGCCGTCCGTCCTAATCTTGGGACCACCGCCGGTGAATAAATCTTAATGTTGCTTTGTGTCTGTGTCTCGGCTGTCTGATGACTTGCAGATAAGGATGGAGGAAGAAGGGGGAGCCTGTGGGACTGTACTACTGATCTGAGGAGAATTTCCTGCAGGGATAGTGCAGTGCTAGGAGGAGTAAGTTTCTGCACTCGGAGAATAGAATGGCGTGCGAGAAATCCTCCGTAAGGGAGAGACTCGGAGATAGAGAGTTGTATATATAGAACAAGGTGGTCCTGGCACGTAGTACAGACGATCAGGTAGAGTAGATAGTAGTAGATAGTAGATCACCTTCCAGGTTTGCTTTTTATGAAGAATATCTATTGAAGCTTAGCCAGGAACTTTGACTGTCAGTATTGGCAGTTCCAAGGTTTATGGTGATAAGGACGTAGTTTAGAAGCAGTCAGAAAGTCACCAAAAAGACGATGGAAGCAGGTCAATGATATCATGATCCTCAGGTTGCGGCTCTCCTTGGTAGTAGCTTAGTAGGTTAGTCTAATTGACATCTACCCATACAATATTATTATCTGAACATAATAATGGGTTATTCTACATACACCACATGACACAATACCCATCAAATCCATCCTCATGACCCTATTCAGGCTTTCCCAAAATGACCACCAACCATCATCGCCACCACCAGCAAGAAACAACCAGCCCTGGCAACGTCCCATCGCACCGTCACCTCACTCACCTCACCTCAACCACGAAATGCCAGTTCTATTCTAACGTTCCTAGCTATCCCTCCTTAGTCATAACCCAACCCACCACACTCTCCCCTCTCATAGGCTCAATCCCAACCAACACGCACGGGTCGACCCCTGTTCCTGAAAATCTAGACCTTCTAGCAGAGACTGACTGGTACGACTACGGTGGCCACTACTTTTGTTTTTTGTCCACAGAGCTCCTCGATGCAGCATCATGCAGAAAACCAGCCCGCCTTGCCCGCCCTCACACAACATATTGCACACATACAGGCAAGGATTCCGCTGGTTACTGTCCCATCACGGCTGTATTATTTTCCATAGTATTCTTTTAAGACAAATAGATAGATCTGGGATGAGTGAATTACGTAGGTGTTGTGTTGTCTGAGGTGGTGAAACACTGGCTGCTGTTTCTGTGGTGGAACCCGCTACGCTATTTACTTACTTTCTTGGGAGGAGAAATTTTTTCTTTTTTTCTTCGGTGGCCCTGTTGAGTATGGATGGTTGGATAGTGGGACGGACGGGATGGGCGAAGAGAACTTTTTCTGGTTAGCTTTGGGTATCGACGGGGTTGGCTTTGTCTCGGGCTCGGTGGGTTGCGTGATGCTGCACTTTCGGGATACTACGTCGGCTGATTGTGCCGGGATTATTCGATCGGTTTGTGTTACTTCTTGTGGTGGTTTATCTGTGGTTGTATTATACTTTGAGAGTGCATATAATGCTCTTGCTACGTCCTGTATGCTATTGCTATTCCATCTGGAGTTCACATGGGAGCTCGAGGACAGCAAGCAGCGTCTCGCTCTCGCTCTCGCTTGGAAATACGGCAATATGCCGGCATGCCGAAACCGACCTAACGGAGGGAAGTGAAACCTCACCGGAAGCCGAAAAGGTCATCGATTGCAGGCCGGTCAAGTTCCGACCGAATCCATGGTAAGAGAGGGAGATCTCTGATAGGCTGTATGGTGCGAGTCAGGCTATATGAGCTCCAGCTAGAGCTGGACCTGAGCATCGACGTGCACGAGAGGCTCTGGTTGGGTGAAAATTTTCGCTGGTGGAGAGGATCAGCCAACGCTAAATAGAAGATCCACTGGCCCGGTGAGCTTCAAACGGGAAGGGACGAGAAGTGGTGCGTAGTTAGCGTGAGATATCGGCACACCGAAGGCAGTTGGATGGACAGGCATCCCGAGACCGAGACGGTCGGCGGATGGCCGAAGTACTCGGGATGGACGACGGTGAGGCTGGTTGTGGTCTCGGTGAGCAGGGTTGGCCGCTTAGGTGTGATGTACTTATCAGCGACGGTCGCTGCTAAGGAAGATATTTAGATTGCTGGTTAAATTTTCTCCCTCTCGCATTTAAGCTGTCGGAGGTGATAGTCCTTCCCACCCTCCTTCATTTTTATTTTATTTTATTCTCCCCTTCCCTTTGGCCGCTGCTGTCGGGCAAAAAGTGAAAAAGCATGTGTTCGTGAGAGTTCGGGATCGGCCAAGAGCCAAGAAGGGATTTTCCCAACGCATGCAGAGTCAAAAATTAGAAATTTTTTTAGAAGAAAAATTCTTTCGTGGTTAGACCCACTTGGCGCCCGGTGATCTCCCTCGTTTGGGCCTGAGGTTGCGTTGGAACCGGCAACTTTACTACGACTGGGCTTTTTTCGTGGCTCAGGGGCTGATCTGACGATTTTTGAAGGAAGGAAAAAATTTTCCTGCTGAGTTTGACAGACAGGTAATGGAAACGAAGAAGATTTCAGGAACGTAGTGGATCACGAATGCTCGTCAACAATGCTTTGTTCAGCAGGCGGGCTGAGGTTCCAGGAGGGTTCTGACTAAGTTGTTGCATGGCTGCGGGAGGCAGGGCGATAGTAATATTAGACTGCGTTAATATTATGCAGGCGTGGCTTTTTACTGCACCCGGCCATCAGTGAATCAAGGGAGGGTGGATCAGCCAATGTCGCCCCCCTCCTTCCAAACAAACAAATCATTCACGTTGTCAAGATGCTTCCCTTCCTTTCTGTGACACGGAATGGCCGGAGACAGCGATGTTTTAGCCACTGGGATTGCAGTATGTGGTGGTTCCGGGTAACATCGACATGTCAGTGAATCAATCAATGATGCAAACCGTTTTGGTCGTACGTAAATTGTTTGTCTGGTGACGGGAATCGGTCTGCCAACCCGACGACAGCCGCATCATAGTTATAATTATTTTAGATTATGATTCGGTTGAAGGAGGACTCGGTACCATTCATCATCGTCATCATCAGCAATCATCATCAAAGATCAATGCTCTCCTTCGGGATCAGTGTCACGGTCACACTGTGGCAAAACATTCTGTGTAGCCGATCTGGAGATTCCTACTCTATACAAGGATAGATGAAATCGATGGACAATAACAACAACAACAACATCATCATCATCATCATCATCATCATCACAAAGGAGCTGTATACAAAGAGTATAGTATGCATGTATGCATGTATGTATGTATTTACGTGGGATACAGAATGTGTAGAGAATCAGTTAGGATTCGGAAAGTCACGACTCAAGAATCCTCCGAAAGAGGCAAGAATGTTGGTAACAAAATAACAGCAAAAAAAGAAAGAAGGCAAAAAGAGCAGGTGATGCCCTCGTGACCTGCCCGCATCCATCATCCCAAATCCTCCCGTCAGGAACTCCAGCTTCATCCACTCCATTCTTTCTTAGCGCTACTCCATCCAATCTCCAGTCTCTCTCCTCCTTCCCTCCATCTCGGTTCGTCTCCATCCGCTTTTTCTCCGCCGGCGAAAACGGATTCCCCCCGATTCAGGTACTCACCGTCCACATCTCCCCGTTTGTCGTAGCCTGCTCCGGCTCTCTCCAGACAGTCTCTCCACTCTCTCCCCACTCCAAGACACGCTCTCGAAGCATCCAATGAACTCTCCGCCCCCTAGCTTCCGAATCTCCCACCTCGTTCGCCTGTCTTCGGGCCCTTGAGATCTGGGCCCCCGTTTTTTCTTGCCATGGTCCTACCCCGAGGATGGGGTCCTCCAATCCCTGGGATGGAGGCGAATCGCCGACGGATGGAGCGTCAAATTCTTTCACTTCCATTTTAGTGGCATTCACTCGTTGACACCGTCATACTTACCGAGTTCATCTTTGTGTGCGGCCCCCCTCCCCCCCCCTCTCCCCCTCTGCCCGGACCCCATATATATCCCTCCATCTCCCCCGGGTCTGTCAGCCCTTTGGATGTCTTTCTCTCCCATCAATCTTCTCTTTTTCCCATCTTCCCATCCCTGGCAGAGGATTCCGCGTTGTATGAATCCACCGGCAACATGGGTGTCTCTAATATGATGTCCCGGTTCAAGCCTCAGGCGGACCACTCTGAGTCCTCCACTGAGGCTCCTACTCCTGCTCGCTCCAACTCCGCCGTCGAGAAGGACAATGTCTTGCTCGATGACAGTCCCGTCAAGTACTTGACCTGGCGCTCCTTCATCCTGGGTATCGTCGTGTCCATGGGTGGTTTCATCTTCGGTTACTCTACTGGTATGGTGACATCGATTCTCTGCAGCTAGTCCCCTCGGTTGCTAACCTTTTCCACCACCAGGTCAAATCTCTGGTTTCGAGACTATGGATGACTTCCTCCAACGTTTCGGTCAGGAACAGGCGGATGGATCCTATGCTTTCAGCAACGTCCGTAGTGGTCTCATTGTCGGTCTGGTAAGTGGCATACATCATGGACTGTCCCTAGAGACCAACCCGACTGACAATCTCTTCAGCTGTGTATCGGTACTATGATCGGTGCCCTGGTTGCTGCTCCTATCGCAGACCGCATGGGCCGCAAGCTCTCCATCTGTCTCTGGTCTGTCATCCACATCGTCGGTATCATCATTCAGATTGCCACCGACTCCAACTGGGTCCAGGTCGCTATGGGTCGTTGGGTTGCCGGTCTGGGTGTTGGTGCCCTCTCCAGCATTGTCCCCATGTACCAGAGTGAATCTGCTCCCCGTCAGGTCCGTGGTGCCATGGTCAGTGCCTTCCAGCTGTTCGTTGCCTTCGGTATCTTCATCTCCTACATCATCAACTTCGGTACCGAGAGAATCCAGTCGACTGCTTCCTGGCGTATCACCATGGGCATTGGCTTCGCCTGGCCCTTGATTCTGGCTGTTGGCTCTCTCTTCCTGCCCGAGTCTCCTCGTTTCGCCTACCGTCAGGGTCGTATCGATGAGGCCCGTGAGGTTATGTGCAAGCTGTACGGTGTCAGCCCGAACCACCGCGTCATCGCCCAGGAGATGAAGGACATGAAGGACAAGCTCGACGAGGAGAAGGCCGCCGGTCAGGCTGCCTGGCACGAGCTGTTCACCGGCCCTCGCATGCTCTACCGTACCCTGCTCGGTATTGCTCTGCAGTCCCTCCAGCAGCTGACCGGTGCCAACTTTATCTTCTACTACGGAAACAGTATCTTCACCTCCACTGGTCTGAGCAACAGCTACGTCACTCAGATCATTCTGGGTGCTGTCAACTTCGGTATGACCCTGCCCGGTCTGTACGTCGTCGAGCACTTCGGTCGTCGTAACAGTCTGATGGTTGGTGCTGCCTGGATGTTCATTTGCTTCATGATCTGGGCTTCCGTTGGTCACTTCGCTCTGGATCTTGCCGACCCTCAGGCCACTCCTGCCGCTGGTAAGGCCATGATCATCTTCACTTGCTTCTTCATTGTCGGTTTCGCCACCACCTGGGGTCCTATCGTCTGGGCCATCTGTGGTGAGATGTACCCCGCCCGCTACCGTGCTCTCTGCATTGGTATTGCCACCGCTGCCAACTGGACCTGGAACTTCCTCATCTCCTTCTTCACCCCCTTCATCTCTAGCTCCATTGACTTCGCCTACGGCTACGTCTTTGCTGGATGCTGTTTCGCCGCCATCTTCGTTGTCTTCTTCTTCGTCAATGAGACCCAGGGTCGCACTCTTGAGGAGGTTGACACCATGTACGTGCTCCACGTCAAGCCCTGGCAGAGTGCCAGCTGGGTTCCCCCGGAGGGCATTGTCCAGGACATGCACCGCCCCCCTTCCTCTTCCAAGCAGGAGGGTCAGGCTGAGATGGCTGAGCACACCGAGCCCACTGAGCTCCGCGAGTAAGCCACTCGCACTCGCGCGAACTCATTTTGCTAGTTGCTCTTGTACATTGAACCTGCATCTTAAGCTTTGATTTATTTAATTGCATGATTGCTCTTTGCATCGCATTTGCTAGCTAGCTATTATCGGCATGAATGCGTCCACGCACGCAATGTTTGAATGGCTTGACTCATCGGGAAGGATATGGTTGGGAACTACGACATCGGCGTTTGGTGATACCTGCAACTGCATACATCTGTTGACGTTGAAATTTTTTTGAGGTTATTGAGAAACGATTAAATACAAGTATATACGAACCTTACTTGGTGATCCAGTAGATTTTTCACTTGTCTTAGTAATGTAGTAATTGTAGACAGTAACGTGGCCAAAGTGATCAGTGCATTCTTCATCCGACCATCTCCGTACACGGAATAGCGTCCTCCACATCGACTCCCTCGGTGTCAACACGAAGTCAGGAACGGCTCTACACAGCGGGTCCGGGGTTCTCTCTTCTACTGACCTTCTAGAATTCTTCTAGAAACCCATATAATGATAGTAGACCACATACATTGCACGTGCACATTCCCCTTCTACAAAGTAGTCTACATCACACATGAAACGATAAATCCAGTCGCTTTTTTTCCCCGGTCTCCTTACCCACCCCCTAGCAGATAAATGCAACCTAACACCTACCACGTGTGACATGATCCCACCCCTGATCTATGTAATATACCCATCAACCCAAGCATAAATCATCATACAGACCTTTTCCATATTAGTACTACTAGTAGAGTAGTCGCTGCTACAATAAGCAAGTAGTCGTTCATCCTGAATGACTCATTGTACATGGTAGTAACATGAGCAGAACCATCCTAGCATGCTTCTCTAGGAAGAGAGGGGAGAGTGAGCAGGAACTTAGAAGATAGACAGACAGATAACTTTGTTTTCATTTTTCTTCCCTCGAGATGATTGAATTTGTGCACAGAGGTTTGTGCTAGCTAGTACTACCCAAGTTCTTGAGAATGGATAGAGAGTCAGAAGTAGTCAGTATCTATCATTTCTATATTGGTTGACTTATACAGTCTCTTTGTCTTGGGGTTATCAGTAGTTGGTTCAGGGTGTATGTGTATGCGTATGCTTGTGCTTTTAGGTTCTTGGTTGTTTGGTTTAGTGGGGGGAAGTGATTCGATTGATGTTTGTAGGTGTATTTCTTGTTGGTAGGGGGATGAGATGTGGTGGTGGTGGCAGTAGCCAGTAGTTTTACCGCAATGTGTCCATTTGCTCATTACGTCTCGCTCACTCAAGTCATCAAAGTGCTATTTTGGATCAAACCATTCCTGCCGTCTCGTCTCTCCTACTTGTCTACTTGCTATGATGAATGAGGAGAATGGTATGCAGTAGTATGTCGTCGCATGCAATTCATACTTCTATAGACAATCTACTTCGTCCACCACAACACAAAGCACAACTAAACTCTTCATCAACATGACAATCGATTCGCGGGAATAAATCCCAGGTATTCAGGAGAAGACTATATTCATCCAAACGAAAAGGAAGAAGACGACAAAAGGAAACACCCCCAACGCCCTTTTTTGGAACACCCATGTTTCATGACCACTATGTGTATCGAGTACTGTATTAAGAAGAAGGGACTTCGTCTCGTCATCGACCGTCCAAATCCGGACGATGCCTTTAACGACGCTGGGTCTTGCCAATGGTACGCTTTCCGGTGTACTGAAGAAGAAGTTAGTATACTACATTGCAGGATGATCAGATAGGTGCAAAAACTTACCAAGTGCTTGGGCAGAGAGGCGGTCGTGTGACGATCGGCCTCTCCCTGTCTTGCCATCCGGTTCATCTTCTTCTGACCCAACTTGGCCAGGCGCTCGGCCTTGGTGCGTGCCTGATCGTCGACAACACCATCGTCGCGACGGTTTGTCGCAGCCTGGCTGCGGAGACGGCCCTTGGCCTTGGCGATGGCCTGGCGAGGGTCCGACATGTCCACATCCATAGCGTCGTCCATGTCCACATCGCGGGTGGTCGTGCGACCACGGACCTGGCTTTGCGAACGGGCACGGGAGGAGGCAGCATCCACATCGTAACCAGCCGCATCCAGAGCATCCGACATCTGGGACAGCTTCTTGGCCTTGGCGCTGCGGGGAATGGGAGCCCGGTTCTTGAGAGACTTGCGCATCTTGGCGTCGTTGCGCATCAGGGTCCGCTTCTCGCGGATCAGATCCGCCTTCATACGGGTATCGGCATCCTCCACATCTTCGACACTCTCGTCGGACTCGTAGTAGCCATCGGCTTCCAGCTTCTCCTCCTCTTCCTCCAAGGCAGCCAGCTTGGCCTCGATCTCGGGGTCGACAAAGTCGTAGATGTTCTTGCCGTTCCAGACCTCGGGGATCTTGTCGTGCTTCCACTCGTCGTCGGCCAGATCGTAGGTCTTCTTGAGATCGATGTTGTAGACACCAGCACCACCGTTCTCCTCCTCGAGATCCCTCTCCAGTTTGCGGCGGTTGGGGTCGTCCTTGTCGTACTTCTTGAGCGTCTTGACGGCCTCAGGAATGAAGGTCTCGCGCTGCACACCACCCATGGGCTGAGCAACGTGGATACGGGCAAGGACGTCACCCAGACGACCACCAGGGGTACCGGCGTTGTTGGTTCCGGACTTGAGTTTTTGAGCCACTCTCTCGGCGAGGAGCTTGTCACAGGCGGCGTTCTTGACAGCAGTCACACCCTCGGTGGTGGTGCAAGACAACTGCAGAAGCTCGACATCGCCCGACTTAAGGACATTCTGGAGCTCTTGCTGGTATTCGGGCTCCAAGTCCTCAGGACGTCTCACATCAATCTTGTTCACGACAAGGAAAACAATCTTGTTGGCGAACAGGGGCTTGATGCTGTGGAAGAGCTTGATCTGATCGCCAACAGAGTAACCGCACTGCTCGGACAGATCCATGAAGTACATGACCGCGGACCGAAGATGGGCAATGGCGGTAATGGACTGCATTTCGATGGTGTTCATCTCTTCAAGAGGGTGGTCCAGAATACCGGGGGTATCGATGGCCTGGAAACGCAGGTACTTGTAGTCAAAGTGACCGACGAACAAACTCTTGGTGGTGAAAGCATAAGGCTGAACGTCGACGTCGGCACGGGTGATGCTGCGCAGGAAGCTGGACTTTCCGACGTTGGGGTAACCGCAGATCAGGAGGGTGCGGGTGTTGGGGTCGATCGAGGGCAGACGACCCAAATGCTGACGGACCTGCTCAAGGTAGACAAGGGGGTCCTTGAGACGCTTGCAGATGGTAGCCATACGACCCAGGGCAGCGCGCTTGAGCTGCTTGCACTGGAACAGAGACTGGGCATACTTGATCAGGCGGACGTAGTCGCGGGAGACCGTTTCGATAAGATGCTTAGCAGTCGAAACCTGACCCAGAGCGATTCTGAAATGATCGGCATCGTAGAGGGTGTTCATCAAATCCTTGTCTGGGAATTGTCAGGATATGTTGTTGACCGAGAACAGCAAAAGAAATGGTGGGGTTTGGAGCTTTGAAAGCAGGCAGGCGACTTACGGAAAGGATGAATATCCTGCAGTCTGGGGAATCCATCGAGGATGGCCTGGAACTTTTCACAGAAAGTCTCCTGGGTGTATTTGACCTTTCTGGTGTAGAAGCCTGTGGGCAGAGAAGAATTTTAATTAGTTCAGCCCGAATATTTCTGATTTGCCGCTTTGGGAGCAAGCTTGTGCATCCCGCACAGATTCTGAAGAACCCAAGACATACCGCGAATACGACTGATGTTGAACCCAGCACGGATCTGGGTAGGAAGCTGTCGCTGAGTGCGACTGAGGACGATGTCCAGGAATTCCTGGCTCGTGGGCACAGGAGCGATCTAATCAAGCGGTGAAAAAGAGACGTCAGATCGAATGTTTTTGCGACCGGTTTGGCTGGATCGGGGATCAACGAGGAGCACTCACATCTTTCCACGTCGTCTTCATGATGGGCACCGGGGATGGAGTCGATACAGCAGGCGACTCTTGAACAAAAACCCCGTGGTTAGTAAATAAGAGGTGGACAAGCGCAAATCTGCGTTAGAGCGATAAAAGAAAAAAAAATATTCCGGGCGGTCGGAGGCAGATTTTGGCGGGCGGTGAGCGCCGAGTCAATGTGGGGAATTTCCCCCCTTTGGGAGTCTCACTGGCAACTGCGTGCTTCTAGGCGAGGCAGCCAGCCAGCCAGCCAGCCAGCAGCTGTTGGGTACTTACGCATATTAGTCGATTATATTTGATACTTTCAAGTCTTTGAACCATGTCTATACCATATATTCATTTACACTGACTACCGGGGACTATGATACAAATATGCCTGCCCTGACCAAACCATCCGTGGTGCTTCAATCCGGCCATCATAATACCAGCATCATCATCATCTGTCCCTAAACCCTCGTAGCCCGACAAAACGCCGTTGCTTTTTATCATGAACCCACCAGTAAGACCGAATCCTGTGTAATCCATAGCATGCGTCATATAAAATGGGGTAGTGTTAAAAGAGATCAAGAGAAACGAACAAAACGTGAGAAATCGAAGACAACATAAGGGGGCGAACATAAGATATAACACCATGCCCCAGAGATGCAGTAGCATTTAAGAACAAACCCACGAGCGCTTACTCCTTGGCGAACTCGAAGACCTGGGGACTGTCAGCTCCGAAATTATGCAGCAATATACATGCCGAAGGGAACTTACCATGTTCACCCAGCCACCACCGCCGAATTGGCAGTTGCTAGGACCGCGGTTCTCAAAACCAAAAGACTGATAATAGGGCACCAGAGGGCCATGCGCAATGATGGAAATGCGATCGGCGATTTGCGCATCCTTGATCCTCTGGATATATGCCTTCATCAATGTGCTGCCAACTTGCTTGCCCTGATGCTCTGGCAGTACGGCGAGAGAGTGGATGGCAATCGTGCTGCCGTACTCGTCATGACCAACAGTCTCTCCATCCTCCACAGTCATGCGCTCTTCCTGCCACTTCGGCGGGAGCTCCATAGACTTATCCGTCACCACCGGGTTCGAGGTTCTCGTGGCGATGACATGGCCCACCAGCGTCGGGCGAGGCTTAGGCTCGCCCTCCCCGAGGATTGGAAGAGTAAACAAGCCGAGACATAATTCCGGGCATCTGCTCAGGCGATAACGAAACTGTGAACCCAATTAGCCCAAGCTCCAACCAGTTTGCTCGACTGGCGCATAGCATCCAACATGTCACCCATACCTTTTCGCGCGAGCAGCGCTCGTGTTCAGGAAATGCCTCCTCGACCTTGACGCAATCTTCGACGTTCGACTCAGTGAGAACCTGCACGAACGGGTGCAGCTCATCCAACTTGGTGCGTTGGTGGACGGGTGGGCGACGGAACCAGTAAGGATATTCGTTGATATCGTCATGGTCCACAGCGACATATTCTCCTTCAACTTCTTCCTCTTCGTCGTCGTCATCCTCTTCAATCTCAGCCTCTCCTAGAGGCTGGCCATCGGCGTATGAGAACTCTGCGCGCTCTGCGCGGCGGGACAAGTCGCTTGCGGTAGCAGGCAAGTCGTAGCTTTCCGCATTTGATAACGGCTTAAGCCCGTTAATGGGTTCCTGGTAGTGAGAGTTGGCCTGGTCCGACATGATGTAGGTAGGTATTCACGCGAGCTGAAGAGTAGTGGGGCAATAGAAAAAGCGATGGCGCAACACTCGGGCCAGGGAGAAAGAAAAAAACGAAGGGTGAAAAGACAGGCAACGTGACAACGACAGAATCAAGGCCGAGGGTTGACCGGAAGGTAAAAAGACGGGACGAAAAAGGGAATCGAGGGGTACGAAATGCTCGGGAAAGCCTAGAAAACCGGGTGGGGATCGATTTAGCTTAATGCGGCCGATAAGCCTCGGGGGGGGGGGTCAATTCACGCCAAAGCTGGCAATGGTTCACAAAAGTGGTGGAGTTGGGGAGAGAGAGAGAGAGAGAGAGTTTCAAGCAGGCAGGAACTGGCGATGACTCGAGCTGGGCAGGCGTCAAGGAGAAACGGGGGCCTTTTCTGGAACGCGCAGACAAGGGAGTCAATCAATCAGTCAGTCGCGCAGGCAGAGTTTGTGTGCGATTGAGATTGCATTGAGCGAGGGGGTGGATTTGGTTTGGTTTGCCACACGCGGAGGGAATGCGACAGATCTCCGGTAGGAGTGATTGGCTGGGGGTGGAGTGTCTGGATGATTGAAGGACTTTCCTCCCCCAGACCTAAAATCTGATGCCAATACCCATCGTCGTTTGGTGTGACTCTGATGGCTGTTTCATCTCTCTCGCCTATCTACTTCCCTTGAACCTTTCAACCTCATTTCCTGTGAGGACCTTCATTGCCAGCACTGACCTTCAGCTGGCAGTGCGATGGGCGGGCAATACCGGACAGGTACTGATAAAGGCTCCTGCAGGTCATGGCGGTACTGTATCATTACACGTCCATGCTCTCGTGCAATGCACGTTTCTGACTTGTAATTGGCTGACTTCTATTGATGGGGGCCGCGTTACCGTGGAGGTTACCGATACGTACATGTTTAGACTGGCTCTTTGGACGTCCCCATCTTGTACCTCAATCTATCACTTGTAACCTTCAAGGTATCCATGATTTCCTATAATAGCAATTCTGCATAAATCTATCTTGCCATACTCAACGCTGTCTGATGCGTACCGATGTAGTGACTGGCTGTGCTGTCAACAGCTTCTACCCTGCTGTTTTCTCCAAATCATGGCATCATCATGCATGGAATGCAACGTTGGATTCCTTCCGACACGAGGGGCTGAAGACACCACTTGCACAACAGACCCTGGCATCCGGGCCTGCTATGATTCTTCAGCTTAGATGCAATCTGATAAGCTTGCCAGGCTATCGGATCCAAGCCCCTGTCGACGCTAGCAGTTATCGGAAACGAGGCACAGACACTCCGCTGCAGTCCGTCGGCGCTTCTGTCCAATGCCGACCAACGCATCGATGAGCTGGCAGACATTCTTATCTCAACCGCCATACTAGATACCTTTAATGCAGATATAAATTCAGCATCGATAGTAACCTAGTAACCTAATATATTTGTCTGCTTTGTCTGCTGAAGCGATTTGGACTGGTCACCGTTCTCTCGTATCAAGATGGCCAAACCATTCCCTGTTGATCATAGCTTGACATCCTTCTGGCGGTCGGAGCCTGATCCCTTGGACAACTTTCGCTCTACAGAGTCACTCCCAGAAACGAGTGACATCGTGATCATTGGTGCCGGCTATGCGGGAGCTTCGACTGCTTATCACTGCCTCGAGCGCAGCCGACTCGTATCAGCAGAACAGCCTTCCATTGTGATCTTAGAAGCACGGCAGGCATGCTCGGGAGCAACAGGGCGCAATGGCAAGTACCCAATCGAAGTCATTCCTAGGCTGCTTGTCAATATTAATGCATGGCGGGTCCTGCCGTGTAGGTGGTCACTTGAAGCCTGATGTCTTCAATCGAACCGGTAATCTGGCCAAGGAGCACGGGTTAGAGGCGGCGGCCGAAGTCGCTGCGTTCGAGATGGAGCATGTTTCCGCTATTCAGGAACTTGTTGAAAAAGAGAAGATCGAATGCGATCTAGAGGTAAACCGAGTATGCGATGTCCAATTTGACAAAGACCAGCTTGCAAAGGTCGAGGCCGGGTACGATTATCTTGTCTCTGAGGGCGTGGAAACGATCAAGGATGTCGGATACACTCCGCCTGAAATGGCAGAGAGCGTAGGTCGCATTCTACATTATCTACACACCCGGGACGACACGGCTTACATCGCCTAGGTATCCGGTGTAAAGGGGGCCTTGGCTTGCTTCAGCCAGCGTACCGCCCGACTCTGGCCGTATAAGTTCATTATACATCTCTTGAAGCAGGCCGTGTCAGCCGGAGTAAACCTTCAGACACACACGCCTGTCACAAAGGTGTCTGACGTCCCGGATGATGAAGGCCGATGGACGGTGACGACAGATCGAGGCTCAATCCGCGCCAAATGGGTCGTCTTCTCTACAAACGCATACACGTCGTCCATTGCACCCGAGTACAAGGACAAGATCATTCCGGTGCGAGGATTCTGCAGTCGCATTGTGGTGCCCAATCCACCTCCATCGCCGCTCGAACGCTCGTATATGCTGCGATTCAATGGCTGGCATTATGACTACCTCATTCCCCGTCCAGATGGCAGTATTATTGTAGGAGGAGCGAAGTCGACCTTCTATTACCAGGACCAAGACAGCTGGTACAACAATACCGACGACAGCCGAACGGTCGAGGCGGCAGTGCGATACTTTGACAATTATATGCAGAGACACTTTCATGGGTGGGAAAACACGGGAGCATATACAGACCGGGTCTGGTCAGGAAGTATGTATCCTATCTCGCATGCTGTTCGTGCTTGTAGTATAAAATCGTACGGTGCTAACCTGAACAAGTCATGGGATATAGTAGCGACTCGCTCCCACACGTCGGGCATATTCCAAACAAGCCGGGGCAACTCATAGTGGCCGGATTCACCGGACATGGGATGCCGCAGGTCTTTCTCTCAACTCGGGGCATCGCACAGTTGATTGTCGAGGGGGTTACGTACGAGCAGACGGGGCTGCCGCGTCTATTCAAGACAACAACTGAGCGGTTGCAGAGCCAGAGAAACAACATCTTACCCCTTCCTGTGGTAGGAAGCAAGCTGTAGGATAGCAGTAGGGCCGAACCATGGTAGCACTAACAAGAATCATCGTATCCAGAATGAATCCTAGACAATGATCAAGCCTATCGTATGGTTAAAGCGAAGTGCAGGATAAGCATCGAGGGGAATAACCTATACAGCATTCTCACCGCCTTCGGCATCTCCTGCGGGCATCGGAGTCTCGCCCACGGGGTTCTGTAATTCTTCCCCATGTCTATGGGCTCCTCCGCTATGAAGAGGAGTCAATGACACGATGCCCATCTGCATCGAGTGCTCCTACCCGGTCTCTCATTTATACAGCACATACAGTCGCGCCGATGACCGATCCCTGGGCAAAGGAGTGCGTCTGACGCAATGTCCGCGCTGCCAGCGGTTCGCGGACAAATACGTCGAGCATGATTTCGTCGTGATCTTCATTGATCTCGTCCTTATCAAGCCGCAGGTATGTGAATTGCACGCATAGGTAATAGTCTCGCTGACGGATTATCAAGGTGTATCGCCATCTGCTTTTCAATCGGCTAGGGGGAGACGACAACCAATTCGATGTAAGCGCACGCTATCTACGTCCACCTACGACATTGCAGACTGCGACTAACACATCTCATTTGCTCAGCGCTCCATAATCCGTCTAGGGATTCTACTACTCCTATTTGACGTCTACTTGACATGGGCACGGATTGAGAAATCTCCATCACTCGCAACCACCTTCCTTTCGCGCGCGCCCATCATCGTCCAATACCTCTTCTTCCTGAGCCTGAATGCGCTGGCGACTCTTGCCCACCACCTTACCATCCGTCTTCTGGCATCGATCCTGGCCCCAACGCCCCGCGGATATATTGGCTCTTCTCAGCATGGCAATGCGACAGAGGCGCCTATCTTCTCCAATCCCTCCACACCCATACTCCCATCATTCCCGTCGCAGACCAACAACAGCCAAACGCAGCTCTCGCCTACGCCAGCATCGACACTGAGTCCGCCGAAGCTTACCCCACAAGGCTCCTCCAACGATGTATCAACAGTAGCGAGCGCTTCAGGCAGTGACATCCACCACCTCCCTCCTACAACCCCACAAGGATCTTTCACCACCCTCCCACCACCTCTCCGACGTGCCTCCACCGCCCCAGCACAAAGCATCAGACCCCTTCCGCCCCCCTCACCAGCCAGCCCAACCGCTATCAGCACCGCCTTGCTTGTCAGCAGTTGCGCGAAGCTCTTCCCCATCCTTCTGGTCATATGGGGCCCGGACGGCAGCGGAAATGCGTCCAATGTTTCCGGCTCTAACAATACTTTGCTCAGCGCCGGTAGCCAGACAACCGTCATGCAGCAGACATTGGATGGCAGCGGCCTCGCTCCCACGGCGACCCTCACCGCAGCTCACCCGACTGCCACGGGGACTTCGTCTCTGCCTGGTTCGTCCTCGCTGCTGGAAAGTCTTCTCAGGATTATGCCCGAGTCTGTACCTACCAGCTATCTGGCTAGCTTTATTGACCTGCTTGGACCGCTACTCTCTCTGGGCGCGGCGGACACGCATCTCGTGCTGCTAAGCAACATCGAAGCATTGTATATCCTGCTTGGGTGCGGGTACCTGCGCGCGGTGGCATTAGCAGTGGCAGGGTTGGCTGCTCGGTGGACTGTACAGAGGGTGATATTGGGGGCAGTTGGAGTTGGTTAATATTTCTATAGAGGAGAGCATATTACTAAATACATAGACATAGCATCTTGATATACCATACCATACCATATACTCACTACACAGTAGTGAACATCTACACCAATCCCAACCCCACAGAGACGGTCGATAGACAAATAGGTATTGAAACCAAGCGAAAGAACAAAACAAAAAAAATATAGTAGCGTAGCTATACAGTAATCCCACATTTTATATCATGGTATCACCTCCCTCCCTCCACTTCACCCTCAGCCACATCTCCCCCACGGCCAGGGCATAGGCCCCTTATTCCACGCATCCCCTGGTATTTAACTATTCAACCACATCCCATCCCAGCCACATCGCCCTGAAACAGCCTCGCCTCTTCACAGGCAAACAGCAAAAAAGCATCAAACTACTGCGGTACCCTCCCCGGCCGAATATCCGCCCTCTTTGGCACGATCAACGGATGCCACTGCGCCAGGAATGTAATAGCTACAAAGCAATACCAGTTAGCCACGCCCTGCCAAAGCCACAGAGTAAGAGCGAAAAGGGAATCAGTGTTAGGTTCGACATACCCCACATCAAATAACAACAAACGAAAGAAAGCACGAGCGTGCTGCGGAAGACACTATTCCATTCCCAAAAGACAAAACGTCAGTAAACACAGCACCTCTTCGATTGTATTAAAGGTGGGAAAGAGGATGTATAAAACGCACGTCTGATTCTCCCCCTTAGGACTAAAGATCCAAGCCAGGACGGAGGCAACAACCACGAAGATGAGGCCGATGATTAAACTCCAGCTGTATTTCCAGAATATCAGGTTAGTGTATGTTTTCATTTAGCAGTATCATAGCCATGATGTCTTTCTTATCCATCACTGGGAGAGCGCATGGAAAGATATCCAGTCTATAGAGAGGTACCAAACATGACATACCCGTTCGCCATTTTGCTTTCTTGCTCCGATCGATCGATCGAGTATATGGTTCAGAGATGATAGGTGTTGTGTCGTGTACAGCAGGTCCAGCCTTGCTGTTTCTGTTCTCTTTGTCTCTTGCTTGCGAGGTGTAGGTCGTGGATTTGAGGACCGGTGGAGGTAGGTAGCTAACTAGCTGGGTAGCTGACTCGCTGGCTGGCTGGTGAAACGGCGCGAATGCGGCTTTCGAGAAGTCGGTCGTCTGTTTGATTCGCTGGAAGAAGGTAGGGTCGCAGTAGTAGATGGAGGACGGGGCTCAGACTGGATTGTCGCGCAGCTAGCTGGTCGGAACGGGGGACGGAGTTACGTGGTTATCGAGAGGGAGGTTATCGGCGGAGCTGCGCCGCTGCTCGGGATTGATGCCTGAGGCAGAACTCATCATCTGGAGATGGGTTCTGGCTATGCGCTGCAGAAGGGAATTCGACATTATTATTTTGATGGGTTTGTTTTGGACAGGGGAGTTTATGTAATGGGAAGAAGAATGATGAGACTAAGACTAGCTGACGCATGCACTTGCGCAGGGTATTTTCGAGGAATTCTGTAAAAGAGACATCTGGGCTAGTAGTATAGTAGGCGAATGTCATACTGTATCAGTCTACGATATACACTGCACAATTTACACTTCAAGCAGTCAATAACCCACGTATTCACACATCGAGGGATATAGAACAATTTCGCAAGACAAACAGGGTGAATCAAACGAGGCTAGTTTCCAATAACAGGCGGCAACAAAACGACACGAGACAATGGCGACAAATTCCAGCAACAACCGATTTAAGCGCCCTCACGGCTCTTACGGTAGCTGGCCTGCAGGAAGATGCCAATTAGTCACGATGAAACACCACCTGTGAATATTGATCGATCATACCTCTTGCTCAACCTGCAAGCCATCGACAACAGGAGCCAGCTCGCTGAGTATCTCGTAAGACCGCTTGTGGTACTCTAGCTGCGCCGCGATCAAGTCGGCCAGGTTCCGCAGAGGTTCCGGGGTATCGAGGACCTGAAAAATCCTGTCAGTCTTTACACTTTCTTCCACGCAGACGAAGCAACGTACGTTCTTCATCACGCTCACAGCCTCCTCGGTCTGTCCGACGAACTCATCCTCCGCCTGCTCAATCTCCGCACGAGCCTCCTCGCTCAGGCTGTCCCAGTCACCCCTGACTGCGGCCTTCTTGCTTGCCTTGATCGAGTCGAGCATAAGACGAGCGTTCTCGACGTTCTTACGTGCCTTCGCCGCGAACATCAAGTTCGTGTTAAGAGTGGTGTTCCAGCCAGCCAAGAAGCGAGATTGGATCTGAGCATCCTGGGCCAGACGGGCCTCGCCCACCTTCTCCGATGCCAAAGCGTACTTCTCCAGCGCAGTGGCCAGAGGGTCCTCACCGTGCGAGCTCTGCGCCAGAGTCTGGGAACCTGCCAGAGAGGCGCGGGCAATAGCGTGGTTAAAGGTCTTGGGCTGCGGCTTGGCCGAGGGAGGGGCAGTCAGGGCAGCCTGAGCCTCGGCGGGAGAGGAGGCCTGGGAAAGGAGCTGGACCTTCTCGCTGATGGTGCGGCCCATGTCGTTGAAGGATTCGCGAATGTTGGGCGGGTAGTCATACGCCTCGTTGGAGTATTGGGAACTGCATGTGATAGGGCCAACATGTTAGGTGACTGAGAGATGAGAGGTTACGGGGGGAAATATTACGCACGTCACTTGAAGGAGCTTCTGGTGGACAATCTTCAGGGCATCCACCCGCTTCTCCAGCTCGATGTACTCATCGGGAAGTTGAGTCCGGTCGTCGGCCTGGCCGAGCTGCTCCTTGATCATCTGCTGAGTGCGCGCAGCAAAGGGCGAGAAGCTCGCGCTATTCGATAAGACATAGCATGTTAGTATAGATGCTTGGGTTGAAGTCTTGGCTGTATGACAACATCGGAGTGCCGCTGGAGATGCGGACAGTCTCCTAATCGGAGAAATTATTGCGGAGGGGAACAGTATCTCACCTGAGGTTCTTTCCGAACGCCTGGAACTTATCCATGATGTAGTTGGACACTAAGTCTCTTGGGTTTCCGAGTAAAGCACGATATATCTAATTTGAATACAAATGCAGGAAGTCTGCAATAGGAGGGTCAGAGAGAAGATGGTGTTGATGTGCAGATCGCGGAGTCGAGGCCACTTTCCGTTCATTGGTGCGACACCGCCTTCGTATCGCTGGTAGCGCCACGGTTTCATGCCGGCATGAGCTAGGCACCCAGGCAGCATCGCTATCTTAGGCTATAATCAATGTGGTCAGTGTGGACAGTTCTACTTTACTACCAAGTACCACACTTCTACTCTTTAGACAAACTCTAATGTGCGCAGCACTGGTCACATTTCTTGCATTGGCTAGGTCCAGAGAAGGCCTGGTAAGTATTAAATAGGGTCTAAGCACACAATCCACACAACAAACTCAGGAACAAGAGCTAAATAACGCGCACAAGCCCATGAAACAAACAAGAATCCCATTGTCGTTATCGTCGTCGTGAAAGTATGGCGTCAACCGCACCGATCGAATCATAGTACAAGTCGTCATCGCAAGCAAACTGGTATAGTACAGATGAAAAATAGGAGACACCGAAATCGTTAAGGAAATAGCTGAAAGTCGTAAAAATGCTCCCCGAGTCCGCATTCAGCTACCCGGATCAAGTCAACGTCGCCATCATCGCTCGCATGAGCCGTGAGCTCGGGCCTATGAATATCACTTAGAATCCGCACTTCACCGCTTGCGTCGGACAAGGCTCATCCTACCTCTGCGATCCTTTTTCACCTCGAGGATCTCCTCTTCTTCGCCGTCGCCAATAATCTCCGTGTCCCGGATCATCTCTCCACCGCCACGTCGCTCGATTTGCGTGTATTCCCGCAGATCGTCATCGCTGTCTCGCGGGCGTACAACGATGGCAAGTGGGCCGGACTGAAGCTTAGTGGACTGCGCTCCATCGTCATACCGCTCAATTCTACGCACGGGCGATGACCGACGGCGAGGGCGACCCTGGACCGACACGTTTCGTGTCCGAGAGACCGTCCTGGTTATTTTCTTTTCCTCCAGCTCGCCATGGTGGTGGTGATGATGGTGATGGCGCGACCGCGACCGGTGCCGGGATGGAGATGGCTCGATGAGCAAAGTCTCATGGCTCGTGCGGGGGGTGTAACTCTCCATAGCGATTCGTTCCACTATGCGGTCGCGCTGTCTGTCACGGACGGGTGAGGGTGAGGAAGTATGCTTATAACGTGCTTCCAGACTGTCAGCACCATTGCTCTCTTGATGGCAAGCACGTGAAGAACCTACTCTCGGTCATGCGCTTCATCTCACGACTTCGACTGATGACCTCGTCGATCTGCTCCTTGGAAAGAGCAACCTGGATGATGATCATTTTTCCCTGCAGCCACGGTCAGCGTTGGACAAGGCCCAGGCCATGTTTCATTCCAGCTCGACTTTGTATCCATGAATATACACACCTCTTCCTCATACGGATAGCCAAATTCGCGGATCGCGCTGGTGTGAACCAGTTTGCGAGGCATACGAGTTTTGCCTTTCCGAGGATACGGTTTCTCCACGTCGACTTCCTCTACCATTCTCTCACGAAACCGACTCACTGAGCGACGTGGGCGCTCGACAATCCGATCCCGCTCACGGAACTCCCGGTACTCTTCGTCGCCATAGTAGTCTGGTTCCGCAATTCGGATTTCCTCGTAGTAGTCGGGCGAACGGACACGGTGGAAAGAGCCCCGTCTTCGCATTGGCGGGGGACTAGGAGGAGCTCTAGGCGGGTAGTCGCTATAGTAATATTCATCGATCTTGCGTGTTGGGCGGTCAAAAGTGTCCAGGGAAGACTGCCGGCGCAGAAGGCGCGGGCGCGGGGGAGGGCTCTCGGCATGGCGGTAGGTGACCAGCGGACCTGGGGAGTAGGCTAGATGCTCATCCTCGTAGAATATTTCGGAGCGACGGGCAGGGGGACCGTATCGCTCCTGTTCCTGAAGGCGATATTCGAAGCGATCATCCTCTTCGACACGACGGGGGCGCTCGAGTACCGGGGGTCCACGTGAACGGTGACGGTGACGGTGACGCTCACGTTCCCGCGAATAGTGGTCCTCGTCGAGAGCCCCAGTAGAGCGACGGTAGTCGCCGTATCGAGACATGTGTGATATGTTTGGATTTGAAGCAGTGGATGACCTGGTAGGGAATACTAGAGGGAAAGGAACTGACTGCAAGCGAACCGTGGGTGACGGCAGCGGCTGACTGGGGCGGGCCGTTGATTAAAATATGGCGGGGCAGGGTAAAAAGAAAGCAGAACCGTAGATGTGAGAGATGGATTTGCGACAAGAGCGATGACGTCGAGGCTGTTTGCTGAACCGTGTATGAGAGTTGTTAAAGAGTCAACTAATGTAGATCTTCTTGTGGAGTGCTATGTGTTATTCCAGTTCCTCTTGGGGTGGGGGAGGGACTGGCTTTTGTATAGAAATGTCTGGATTGCAATGCAGACAAAATCCCCTACTGATAAATACTGTTATCTACATTGAAAAATAAAAATATCATCTACAAAAAAATGCGAAACAAAACCCCAGCAGCGTGACGTTAGCGGAGATACCGCAAAAAAACCGCCAAACCGCCAAACCACCAAAACACAGCCAAAGTCCCCTGTAACTTACGCAGATCAGGCGGGCCCACGTGTATGCGTCTGGTCCTGATTATTCTTAGCCATTCGCCACGGTCCCTCGCCTTCTTTCGTTTCTTCCTCCGGCTGGCTCTTTTGCTCTCTCGCCCTCTCCGTCAGCCCCGATTCTGGTCTGCACCACTCCTCTCCGGGGCGTAGACAGTGCAGGTCTGTCGGTCCAGCTGTCCTCTAGCAGTGGCTGCGTCATGCATCACGCCGCTGCGGGAGGGTGCAAATCCTACCCGGATGGAGCGTCTGTCTCTTTAGCTGCTGGGCCACTAGCCACCCTGCACGACCCCCCGGCTCGATCTTGTGCCCAGATAGTTTCAACAAGGGGAGTTTCATCCTAAGCGCATGCTGTTGGTAGGCCAGAACTGCTTCAGGGGAGCGGTTATTCGACCCAATAACATTTGCCTCCACGCATAGTTGGTAGCCTTGCGATGTGATACTAGTGTGATGGACCGAACACTTCGGAGAATTCCAGCTTGCCCCGACACCACTTACGTCTCTCTGGCATTCAGATACCACACCCACCAGTTGAGACCCATGTTGGGTCTCACTGGCGATGGGGCGCGATGATTAATTGGTTCCATGGAGCCTCCGTCCAGTGTGGACTACTGCATTTGGTGATAATCCCCCTTCATCACGATAGAGAGGTCTAATACTATACCTCTTGAGTGGCCTGATACTCACTCAGATATCTGGAGCGGATTGCAACTGACCAACTGTACATCGACCGGATCGCCCGCCAGCAACACTATTGGAAACTCAATTAAGTTAACTCTCCACTTGTACACGGCTTTCTTACTGCTGGCGAATTTACTTTGTCTGTTTTTCACTGATCCACTGCGGGTTTCGAACGATCTCGACTCAGGGTAAGTGACTCGTGAGAAGCTGATGAGTACCTGAGATGATCTGGTATGAATGGACACCCAAAAGAATTACAGCGGGGCAACGTGAGGGGGAGAAGACTGTGTTCGAGACTAATGTTCTCGGAGATCTCTAAGAAAGTCAAGGATCATTGGTGCCTTCCTAAACACAAGGAGAATAAACGGATGCATTTGATTCCCAAAACGGAGTACACCATTAGTGACCGATGTCTTTGCTGGCTGCAGACTCGACGTCAAAAATAAAGCCATGGGGGGCGCGCGATAATGGCAAGCCTAGCAAGGGCTTAAGCCCGCCTAATCTGCACTAATGCGGAGCCAACGAGAACGAGGCCGAAGCCATCTCCCCCAAAAACAAATCTAGTCTGGTGCTGCCAACTGTCGTCTGCGCCAAGCCTCCATCCAGGCAAGTCACCTGCACGCCTCCTCAATGGCTGCTATCGTCGGGTACTCACCACTCACTGCTCTCCCATTTCCCTGTGTCTTTCTCCATCCTGGGCAGATCGCTTCGGGTCTAGACTGAGCTCAGGGATGTGCCCTGACCCCACAGTCTGCAGTGCCTTTGATTTTGATTTGATCGGCCCGATGATGGATACACTTGACATACTACTATTTCGGTTGATACTATCAACAAAACCTTGGACAATGCATAGTCTCCAGGTCATAATTGCCTTTCTCCTAGGAGCTCATGATCCGCATTGTACGAGCTCAACCGGTCGTCCTTTGTGTCTTCCCCGGTAGTCCGACTTTCATAATCATCATTGGTCGGAAGCGATATCCCTCCCATGGGCTAATGTCCGTTCGTATAGCTATTTTCCGCTTAAAGCAAACTTCCTAGGATTTACCGGGTGAGTGCATGCCGTTCTTGCATGGTCTTATCATATTGATACCTAATGCTGGATATCCACCTTCCGTGGAGCCGGCAAATGGAGGGGGTGTCTCAATTGAATGAAAGCTGATCTCAGCAGTGTGTGCCCATACGTATTCGCATCCAAGTGTTGCACTGTCGCAAACAATCTACACAAGAGCGGTGAGCGTGGGCAGTGTTCCAGCTGTCCCCTATCAACAGGGCCAAAGTAATTCGAGGCCCTCTCCGGAAGTCTTCGGAGTGCAACCTCATCGTGCAAGATAATCCGTCCCTGATTTCGCGTTGTCAAAGGGGAAGCGTGGAGTGGAGGTGGGTGCTACCCATTACCTTCCTGGTGGCTTACCCTGTGCCATGACTCAGAAAGGTACGTATGCTCTTGCCCACGAATTCGGCCGAGTTACCTACGTGATGCTCTCGGGATTCCTAATATGGGATAATGGGTAGATCGGGCTCCTCTGGAATCTCTGAGCCCAACGTGTGAATACTGATAATGGAATAACCCTGGATTATAAGCTAGAAAAAGAAATTCATGTCTCGAGCCGAGTCTGGCTGCTCTCGCACAGGCCCGGCTCGTTGCGTGTTGCTTTAAGCGGTCAATCGCATTAGCTGTCAAGCATTGTTGTCAAAGATATTCGAGCACCGTCTCAGTCTGTCATGGCCATTAGCAGCTCCCTTGTCATCAGACAATAGTCTTTACGACATTTGTCGCGCTGGTGATGAGTTCGAAAGAAGGGTTTGGACCCTCGTTTCTTAGCACCAAAGTAAACCAAGCTTTGGCTATCACTACTACTCATACCATGATTTAGCTTTTGAATTGGCGTGTTAGCTTGCACTCACTCGAATCCCTGCTAGAACAATGACAGTTCTGCCTCCGCCTCTAGTTTCGCTCACCACAGCTTTCATTATCTAATATCCACCCCCAAGCGTTCTCAAAGAGCCAGGAACGCTTTCTAAAGACTTTAGCCAATTTCAACTCCCTTTCTATTCCCAGACCTGGTCGCTACTATCTTCATCAGGAGTCCACTTAACACCTAAGAATAGTACTAGTACGACAGATATATACTTGAAAACTGGTATCTTCATCTTATGACCATAAGACCTTACTACCACTTCATAACGAATGTCTACAAGTCGAGTAGTAGTACCTCGAGATAGAAACAGAAAGACTGGAATCCATCCCTTTGCCTCCCACCTTTCATGCTACTCGCCGATTCTTCTCTCGAGACAAAGCCAATGACACCTTCTTCTAGAATCTTCATGATTTCTTACTCTCAGTCCAATAGTAGGAAAGGGATATGTATTGGGAAGTTCGAAACATCCTAATTGGGCAACTCGTTGGGTCATGAGATACATATAGATTGATTCACTGTCGACATAGTAGTAAATACTGTTGCTTCTCCATATAATCAGGTTGTAAAGTCTACCAGGAAGAATGACATAAAATGAATATAGTATCATAGTATATACCAAGAATTGGTACTATTGTTAATTGTAGTCACGCCTACAGCTTTTCGCATCTCCCATTTCCTTAACCTGTTATCGACCTTACAGTACTACTACTTAGTTCTGATATTGTTTTTGGGCGGGTTTCAGGGTCTGCATGGCATTATAGCATTTACCGAAGGCATGATTAGTTCAATCATTTGTAGTGTTTAGCGCCTGGGCCTAGTCTGAAGTTCATTAATAAGTATGCAATAGTTCTAAGACAAGGACAGATCATATCTGGCAACCAAACTAACAGGGATTATATCATGGTGTGCCCGGTAGTAGTAGTATATTTTTATTATCGTGCATAAGACTGTCACACTAAATCGTCTGCACATCAACTTCCAACCAACTGGACATGACCATCACAGCAAACAAGAAAAGCATTCCTAACTGAAAACCTGAAACAAACGACCAAGATACATGGTAATCATTAATCAAAATCAGCCCTTACTACATGTTTCTGGAGCAACTTCTTTTTGCTTTTCTAGACTCGGTCTCGAACAAGAGGAGACAGAAATGGAGAGATCACATCTGGCCCGACAGTTGACTAGTGCATGCATATGCACGTGCAGGGCCATGCGAGGAATCAGATCCCGCCAGGTGGTTCAGAAACGGTCTTTACCGAACCAGAGCACCATGGAAATGGGCTGTCAGCCTGCGAATACAAGCGGGAGACGAGATCAGCCTTCTGCAGGGGCGGTGCGGATCAGTGGCGCAATGCATTCGACCGGTCCTGTATGTAATTCAGAGGCCGGTCGAGCCCATGCAGGGTGGTGGCGACATTCATTTTTTCGAGGTGGATACATCACATACCGTGTACTCAGGCTGCGTTGGAGGGCTTTGTGCGACGAACCATCAGTGTCTGTGACTTTGACAGCGGCAGCTCCGTAGTAAGTCTCGAACGGTGTGGACACAGCACAATTCAGATGTCATGCTGTCGTCGGTGACACCTTGATGACAAGGAATAAACATGTTGCCATGGTTGCATCAGGAGCCCTTGTCAACAGAAATTGATAGATCGTGTGGTTTGACGTTGACTGACAACGTTTCTACTGACTTGTAATTCAGGCCCGGAATCTATTGGCCTGTGCTTGAATGAAACCTTGCCAGCCAGCAACTACTACTAAGTACTCATACCCGATCCTCGATTGAGAGGTTCAGTACGTCATCTTCCAAGCTTAGAATTCCCATGGCCCAGCCAGCTTCTTCCGGGCGTCTGGCGATGGTGACGAAACGCCTTTCGCCGGGATTACCCAAGGAACTCTCTTGAACGGGTGGTGTCCACGTTGAGGCCCGTTCGTACTCATTCGTGTCTTTCCGCTCATACGGAGGACCACGACCTTGTTTCGCAGCGACTCTCCATGCATTCTCACAACTGTTGGCTATAGATTCGGACGTCTTCCAACCACTTTTTCGGGAGAGGCTGCGCAGCCTTGTTACGACCCAATCTCGTTGCGCGGGGTCTGTGTATTGGATTGCTGAGAAGAAGATCGGCACGGTCATCTTGATAAGACAAGATCCGAGTGTTGGGCTCAAACTCCCGGCATCTAAATGAGATACTTGTGAGTTGTAGATCCCAGCCGCGATTCTTCCAATAGCCTGTGAGTACCCTGCCGTGGTTGGCGCTGCTACCTTTGCAGATACCATCATGGCGGGAGGCATCGATGGATGTAAGCGATGTAAGAGAATTCGTCCGGTGAGGTAATATCCCCACAGAACAGCTATAGTATGTGTCCGATACTGCAGAGCAAGCCCGAAAGGAGACGATATCGGAGTCACACTGTCGGGAGGCAGAGGCATGAAATACGGACCGAGAGCGCTCTCAAATGTGTCGAAAGCCGTTAACATACTTTCCCACTCAACCTCAGCTTCTTCGTATGAGCCGTTCTCGGCGCCTTCATCGTCGTACTGGCCATGATGACGAAATTCGACAAAAGCAGGTGGAGGATGTCTTGGTCCTCGGGACGGAGCCATGCCATAGAACGGCGGACCAGCCGTTGGCGCACCAGACGGAGGCTGCACAGGGCCACCGGCCGACGGTCTTGTTTGCTGGTCCAGCATTCTCCCTGTGAAACGAGCCATAAATCTAGCGAGCCTGGAATCAGGTCGCCACTCTGATCCCGTAGTCTCCGTTGTTCTCAGCTTCCGCTTTCTGTCACGAACACCAAAATTTGCCAATCGTCCTAGTAAGAGCCACAGATGATCCGCAGAGCCATATATAGCGTCCAGTCGACCCATTCCGGCGCGCGGGGGACAGTGTCCCCATTGGGAGTACGGAATGCTGCTGCTGTCAGTCTGATGTTACACCAAGGAAAAATTGGGGATGCTACTGACAATAACGGCCCGCCACTAATAATGCTCTGGATGACATCCTGCTGTAGATACCACCAGTAGAGATCGCACTGGATACGAAAATTTTCAATGTCTTTCTTAGTAAAATGTCTCTCGGGGCGAGAGCTGGCTTGGCCATCATCGACGTGTCCGAACTCATCGTAACTCACAGCTCGGCCAATAAGACTGCCTATCAGATCTTCGTCGATGTCATGTTCTTTTTCTGCGAAAGGATCATCTTCCGAACCATAGCTGATTGAAAATAAGGGTTCCACTATGGAAAGACTGGAGGATTCCTTGTGATGTCGCTCCGCCCATACCCTGCGCCGCTGAGCCCGCAGGCTACGGGTCATGCCAGCAAAGTTAATCTCGCGCACCAGCTGAGCCGACCCTGCGACATGACTATTCCACTTGGAGTGGTCGGCCCCCATTACTTCGTAGTATCCCAGCAGAAGTGTAGCAGCTAGGGTACTAATCTGCTTGCGTCGCATGGGTAGGCCAACTGCGACACCGACTCTTCTAAGCGCATAATGATAGTGCTTCAGAGAAACTGTTGGCGGGGCCTGCTGCAGGTAAGAAATATGTAGGCTGCTCAAAGCTAGGATGGCCTGCAGTAATGGCTGATTCTCCAAGGCTTTTAGAGGAAGCGTATAGGTCCAGAGTCCCTGTTGTGCCATTGGGACTGGGGAACCCAGCATGGTGGAAGGATCAATTGGATGCCGCTCAAAAACGGATAGAGTTGGCCCGGTAGAATGGATGAAATGCAAGAAAATGCGTGCTGTTTTGGGATTGTTCAGTGGAGAGGATCCAAAAGTTGGGGAATATGAAGTAAGTATGTTAGGCTCATTCAGGTATGTGGTAAAAGTTCGAAGCTGCTGCTGGTCGCGATTAGCGGATGCCATGATAAGGCTGAGCTGATTGTAATCTTGTGCCAACGTCTGCTCATGGCTCTCCTCGTCTGTATCAAGATCGTAGTAATCGTCTTCGCGTTCTTCTTCAACATTTGAGAGTACCTGATACGAGGTTGGATATGTGAATCTTCCGCCGGGTGCCCGGGAAGATGTGTGCGGATATACTATGCCTGCATCAGTCGGATAGCGCAGCTCTAAGCCAGCTGACCGTTGTTGGTCCAGAAAAGCCAAGGTGTCTGCCGGCTCGCGGAGTACTGGATAGTCCTGTTGCGACAGAGTATCTGACTGCAGTTGGAACGGAGCGGCGCTCGGCGCCTGAAACTCATCAGGCGCCGCGGTTGTGACTGGCTGGGGAGATTGTTCCAAATTTGCGGTTGCAACGGGCTTTGGAGCGAGAACCGGTTGGCCAGACCAGGCTTGCCTTTGCTGGGAGACAGCATCATTGATATCCTCACTGGGAGGTGGCACATTGAAGGTCTGTGAACTGATGGCTGCCGGTTGCGAGGTGGTACCCGTAATGCCCAATGGATCCTTGAAGACTAGACGCGGACCATAGCCTTTGCATTCGCGCTTTGACTTGATACAATTGTTACAGATGGGCTTCTCTTCGCCACATTTTATGCGACGTTGCCGGCAAGCTATTAGGGCTAGTAAGCTCAGGTTGCTCAAACACGCTCACCGGAGAGACTCACTTAGACAGCCAGACTTGGTGCGTTTCTTAGGTACTTTCTGAGTAGATCCACTGCCCGAAACCGCCGTCGTGGAGTCTCCCTGCACTTCCGCCGAAGTGTCAGGACCCGGCGCGGCGTTTGGCCCACTGGCAGATGGGTCCTGTAGTGATTTCCGGGTTTGGTCGGTTGCTTGCATGGCGGTAGGGAATTGAGCGCAAGTTCGTTTCCATAGTCACAAGACAGCAACCGATAGTCTGTAAGGCGTCTGGGCTAGGTAGCGAGTCAAGGATTCCGATGTGGAGACTCATAGCCTGTGGGTGTAAAGAAGAGCAGCAGCGAATAAAGCTTGGGAAGATCCAACGGGGAAGTTCTGCCGCCCGGCCGCTGCGTCGTGTGATTGGCCGAAATCCATAGATTGAGCACCTCAGGCAGTAAGGCTGCCCCGCTGGATGGAAAGTTAGGACATCTTCACGATGCGTGTTGAAACAGTCGATATCGAAGAACAGGTCATAAAAATGATGATGTTCATTGTTAATGACCATAAGCAGCTACCTGGTGCTGCCTCTGCCTTCGATTGGAACTAGTTTAATCTTCATGATCGAATGATCGACGGATAGCCATGGCAGTACCATGTTACCATGAGCATCGATCGCGGTGCAATGCAGCCACCAAAGGAAGATCAATCACAGCAACAAAGACTTTAAGAGTTGTTATATAGTCCCGAACTAGGAGGCTGAGACTCACCTGACTGTCACAACCCCAGATCGCAGTACATTCCAAAAAGGGAATGGTGTACTGTAACCAACTATTCTGACCGCCCTCAGCCGACACGGCAGAAAAGCCGCCCGCTGCCATTCTCCGCCTTTTATTGCCAGAAATTTTTGGGATTTCTCCTCACCGTTCACGCCAATATTCCCGGTCTAGAACCACCAGATAATTCCTTAGGGAGAGACGAGACATTGGGAAGAGTCTTGCAGCGAAGCTTTTCGCTGAGAACACTATCATGTTCGCCGTCCCAGGCTGGTCCCTCGAGACCTCTGCTCTCAAGCAGCAGCAGGCCGAATCTTCCCAGAAGCAATCTTCGTCCAAGAGCTCGACTGGGGCTAATAGCACCCCTATCATCAGTCGGGACAAGAAGCGCAAGCGCGAAGATCATGTCACCAAGGGTAACGTGGATGAGATGTACCGTCGGCATATTGAGGGCCAGAAACCGACTCCCAAGGGCCAGAAGCAGAATGCGAACAACAATGGTGTGAAGGCTGATAGGAAGTCTAAGAAGGGTGGAGATGGCCAGGGAAAGCAGAATCAAGTGACGAAAAATCAGCCCAAAGACGAGAAGACCGAGGCTACCGGGGAGGAAGGAAAGCCTGCCAACAAGAAGCAGAAGAAGAACAAGAACAAGAACAAGCAGCAAGAAGGACAGCAAGAAGTCTCAACTGAAACTCCAGCCGCCGAGACCCTGCCTGTTGCTCCACCGAAAACAGAAGCCATTCTTACTCCTCTCCAACAAGCTATGCGACAGAAGCTGATCTCATCCCGTTTCCGCCATCTGAACGAGACGCTGTACACGACACCCTCTGCCAAGGCCTTTGAGCTTTTCAGCGCGAACCCGGAATTGTTCGACGAGTATCACGCAGGCTTCTCTCGCCAGGTCAAGGAGTCTTGGCCTTCCAACCCTGTCGATGGCTACATCAGGGCCTTCCGCGGTAGAGGGGCAGTCCGTGGCCCTCCCAAGAAAGGAAAGCCCGATAACAAGCGGAATTCCGCTCTCGCCCTTCCTCGTCGGCCCAACGGACTGTGCACCATTGCTGATCTTGGCTGTGGTGACGCCCAACTCGCCCGTGCCCTGTTGCCTTCCGCCCAGAAGCTGAACCTCAAGCTTCTCAGCTACGATCTCCATGCCCCCGAGGGCTCTCCGATCACCAAGGCAGACATCTCCAACCTCCCGTTGGCAGACGGCTCTGTTGACGTGACTGTCTTCTGTCTCAGTCTGATGGGCACCAACTGGGTCTCCTTTGTGGAGGAAGCATGGCGGGTCCTGCGCAGTGACGGCAAGGGCGAGTGCTGGGTCAGTGAAGTCAAGAGTCGCTTTGGCAAGGTGCACCGCAAGAAGGCACAGATCGGAGCAAAGAAGCCTCTCAGCAAGTCAGAGAAGAAGAAGCTCAAGAAGAAGGCTGGTGATGATGAAGGCTCAGACGTGGATGATGCAGATATCTATGCTGAAGACGCTCGTCCGGCCGACAATGACGACGAGACGGATATCTCTGCTTTCGTGGAGGTGTTCCGCACACGAGGCTTCCTTCTGAAGCCCGAGTCAGTTGACAAGTCTAATAAGATGTTCGTGAAGATGGAGTTTGTCAAGGCGGGTGGTGCTCCTACGAAGGGTAAATATGCCTCGACGGCAGGCGCGGGTGCTGGTCCTGGAAAGAAGAGGTTCATTGACAGATCTGCTCTTGCTGACAAGGGGATGACCGCAGAGGAAGAGGCTGCTGTTCTCAAGCCTTGTGTCTACAAGATCCGGTAGATAGCTGTGATCGGAACTTGAGTGTTACAATTACTAGCCATCTGTATATACTATGATATCATCGGCGACTTGTTTGGACATTAGGAAAAAGAATTAACTTGCATATGAAAAGAAGGTCGGGGGATTTAACCATTCAAAGTCATTAGACGAGGTCGTTGTTCTTTTCTATGGATACCATGACAATTACCAGTCCGGACAGGACGAACTAATGTTGATATACTTGCTGGCCCATTATATCTTCATGCGTAGAGGCCCTCCTCATTGGTTGCTGCCCAGCTGCGCAACAGCCCTGCCCATCTCCTCATCATCGTAAATACGGAAGCCCTTCTCCTTAGTCACACTAGCGAGCTGGACGTTCTTCGCGTCCAGCTTCTCCTCCATGACCTGCTTCAACGTCTTGAGAACCAGAGTCTCCGCCTCACCCAGCGTCAAGGAACGATGGTATTCATTCTGCAACTCCGCCTGCGCACCCTCGCTTCCGGACCCGATCGCCTTCGCATCATATCGGTAGAACGTTCCGGAGGGCTCCGCGTGGTATCTAAACAAATAGAATCAATCAGTACACACGTTCAAAGTAGCGGTCTCACTTCCCCGCAGGTGAGTAAGCGGGAAGAACACCCAACATACAGTTGCGGACCATCCTCATCAATACCAGCGAGCAACAAGGCGACACCAAAAGGCCGACTCATGACGCTCTCCTCGTCATCCCCCGTCTCTCCGAATCGCAGGGCCAGGTCACAGATGGCCTGGGTGCAGCTCTCGACTCTCAACGGCTCGGCGTAGTGGAAGGCATGGTTCTGGCATTCGACACGGGCATGCTCGACCAGGGACCGGGCATCTGCCTGCAGACCGGACATGGCGCAGCCAATGTGTTGGTCGATCTCAACGATCTTCTCGACGGAGGAGGCCTCGAGGAGGCTGGAGGTGACACGCTTCTCGACACCTAGGATGACACCTTCGGAGGTTGCGACCTACAATGATGTTAGAATTATCGGAGGCCACTAGTGTAGTTGATGGTTTCGAGAAGGTGAGGTATGAAACGTAGTCGGGCAGGAACGGATGCACGTACACCGATCGCTGTTGAACCCAGCTTGATAGCTTCGAGAGAGTATTCGACCTGGAACAAACGCCCCTCCGGGGAGAAGGTGCTGTTATCGCATGGTTAGACACTGTATATGCTTGCATTGCTATGCAGCAAAGGGGCATCAGAGTCGTACTTGATTCCACGGTCTGTCAAGGAAAGCTGTTAGATGACCGCATCAGAGGGGGAGGTCTGACGGAGCTTACCGTATTCCGAGCGGGCAATGAACATGTTGGATTATGTGGGAAATGTGATGACAATTAGTGAGATGGAGGTGAGGTAGGGAAGAGTGGGGGAGAAAGGCGAGATTGGGATGTAGGAGATAGAGTGAGGACGGTAGAGTTGGCAGCAGCTCTTGGAAGCTCGGGCGAAGCTGTTGCGGTTGTCTACGCAAGTCCGGCGAGTGCCTGGCGGAGAGGGCTGTGGCTGCCCCAGGCCGCCATCAGGCATCCACGGCGACTGTTTGCTTTGCCGGATGGAACCCAAAACTACGGCTTCGGGACGTGTAGTCCGGGTCCAGTGGCTGCGGGTTCTCCCAGGATTTGAATTACATTCTGTTTACTTCATTCAATGGTGTTATTGGCACAGGCTGCATGATTGTTCCTTCTACCTTCCTCGACCTTGCGGGACCATGTCCGTCAATGAGCGTCGCGCCAGCTACATGAGCGCCCCGAGACCCCGCGTTGCGTCCAACCGCGTCGCCGACGCTGAGAAGCCCGGTCTGCGCAGCGGTGCTTCCCCCTTGCAATCGGAGAATATAGACCATCGCGGGAGCACATCCAGCCAGAAAACCAGATCGTCTCGCGATCAACAACATTCCGTCAGCGACAAGCGTACCGAGCGAATGGCGATGCATACGCGAGATAAGTCCCAAGTCCGAACGAGAAACCCGGTCAAGGAGTCGTCCAGTGCAGGCAATAGAGGTGAATTCATGGAGAGATCCCGATCGAAACGAGGACCGAGTCAACCCGAGGGGGCCAGCCCCAATTCCCGAAAGAAGGAGAAGCAACCGGCGGAGAGTTAGTCTTACTTCCTTGAGCTATTGGCAGGTAGAGAGATGTTCGCGCGCTAACTACATATTGCTCCAGCTCCATGGAACCCTCAAGCTTCGTTGATGCCCCATTCTACAGCACCGTTAGCTAGTCGAGTATCGTTTCCTCCTTTGGCTTCCGCTCTGCCTCAGTCGCTTCAACCAACACCGCTCCGCGAACTTTCGGCCGATGCGCAGGAAAAGGCAATACTGGAGGATTTGCTATACGTTTTTATGGGATTTGAGGGCCAATACATTCACTACCGGTCATATGATCCGTCTCAGGAGAAGGACAGGCTGACTGGACCTGCTTTCCAACTACCCCCGGGAATGGACCCGACTCTAAAGGAGCTTACACAATCGACCTTGAAGATAGCAACTCACTACAGTGCGCTAGAATCATTTGTGGAGGTACAGAGTCGCGCAGAATACGGAGCAGTCAGCCATGCGCTATGTGCGACAATCCGGAAATTGCTCAAGGAGTACTTGGTCCTCGTTGCCCAGCTGGAGCACGAATTGCTCAACAACCCGAGCTTCACGCTACATGTTCTTCATTTACACCTCATGCCGACGAGCCAATGCTTGGCTCAGCTGTATACTTTGGGTCAGGAGCTACTCCGACGGAATGGGCTTTTAGACCAAGATCTCGACGAGTCACTCGACGATTTCGACGATGTGGACAATATCCTGGAGCAACTCAAGGAGGGCGGAGAGCTTGTGCCCGGAGCCATGTCTAGCAAGAGGATCTGCAAAGGCGGCAATGTTTTGCGGCTCCTTACTGAGCAACTGACGACATTCTCAGGCGACCCGACCACGAAGGCTCTTTTGGAAAGGCTGCTTCGGGATGCTAGTCGGCCGTATATGACAATGCTCAATGAATGGTTGCACCATGGAGGCATTAAGGACCCACATGGCGAGTTCCTTGTCAAAGAGCAAAAGTGGATCAAGCGGGAGAAGCTCGAAGAAGATTACACGGACGAATACTGGGAGAAGCGATATACAATCCGCGAAAACGAGGTACCGCCACAACTGGAAAGCGTCAAGGACAAAGTTCTTCTGGCCGGGAAGTATCTGAATGTCGTACGAGAATGTGGTGGTGTCGATGTTAGTAAAGCAGTGAAAGATGTTCCAAAAACTCTCGACGACCCTCGCTTCCTAGAGAACGTCAACGCAGCCTACACATATGCCAACGCATCGCTGTTGAATCTTCTCCTCACGAAGAACTCACTTACGACCCGCTTCCGTTCCCTCAAGCACTACTTCTTCCTAGATCGCTCCGACTTCTTCTCTTACTTCCTCGAGCTCGGCGCATCTGAACTACGCAAGCCCGCCAAGAATGTCAACGAAAGCAAGCTCCAATCGCTTCTTGATCTGGTGTTGCGACAACCCGGGAGTATCGCGGCTCAGGACCCGTTCAAGGAAGATGTCAAGGTCCGAATGAACAAGGTCGGGCTGACAAAATGGCTGATGCAGGTTGTAAGCGTTTCTGGTATCGATCAGGATAACCCGGAGGCGGCAATCGAGAAGTACCAGGCACCTACAAGCCAAAGTGGAGAAGACGACAAGGATATACTGGGCTTCGATGCGTTGGAGCTGGATTACTCTGTTCCCTTCCCGCTATCCCTCGTTATCAGTCGCAAAACGGTTCTCCGGTACCAGCTAATATTTCGACACATCCTGTCACTCCGTCACATTGAGACTATGCTTGTCACATCGTGGCTAGACCAGAGCAAGGTCATTGCCTGGAGGCACAAGTCTTCTGACCGACGACTAGAGATGTGGAAGAGGCGCGCGTGGAATTTGCGTTCCAAGATGTTGGTGTTTGTACAGCAGCTCCTCTACTTTTGCACGGCCGAGGTCGTAGAGCCCAACTGGCAGAACCTCATGGACCGGGTAAATGGCACTGATGCCGATGGCTCCGAGGTGACCGTCAACGGCACCAAACAAGTCAATCGCACTGTGGACGAGTTGATGCAGGACCACGTGGACTTTCTGGATACATGCCTCAAGGAATGCATGCTCACACAGGCTAAACTCCTCAAGGTTTGTTAGCAAGTCCACTATGATGGCACCGTACTCACAATTGACCAGATCCACCATCGACTCATGACCTGCTGCACCATGTTCTCCTCCTGGGCCACATCCTCACTCGCGCGTGCGCTCGCGTCAGCGGACCCTGACCTAGCGGGAAACAAAGCTGCTGGTTCAGACGGGCGAGGCTATGACCCGTCGCGTATCGACAAGCTAGAGGAGACATTGAGGCGATGCGAGGAGCATTTCAACCGACATCTGCGGATTCTGATGGACAGGTGGGTATACCTTTCTGCCGTTAAACGATAACGCTAATGATATTATAGCTTGAACTACTACGCCGCGACTGAAAGTGTCGTTCTTCTTAAGCTGGCGCATGCCCTGAGCGCGATCAGTAAAGAGGACTGAAGTTGAGGACCTTCTTTCCTCGAAGAATGATTCCCGAGGGTAACCTCACCACCCTCGCAGCTTGGAATAACATTCAAGTCGATGGTTCTCCACATGACGCGGCGATATCCTACACCTAAACACAGCCGTGCGAGGCCGTCCCTTACTGAGGGACTTCTACAGGCCCACCCCAAAGCCCTACAGGCCGCGCTTGCGAACTGCTGTTCCGTGACAAACAGGGAGTCTCTGCCCTACAATGAACGGCGCAAAACCTCACCTCACACTCGTACACCCTCCTCTCTATAGTTTTTGTTTTATTACCTTATGTGTTAGCCCACGGCAAGGCTGGAGTATCAGGAAGAAAAGACGGACGGGGCATGCTTGACGTCCAATGATGATTTGCGAATACCCACTACTCTACTGAATAATGCAATGCAATGAATGACCAGATTATGAACGAACAGAAACAGCATATCATCATCATCATCAAACATCATCATTAATCCTTCTGAATCCGCCCCAATAGATCCGCAGTCACGTTCCGTGGCTGTGAGTCAACACAAGAAGAGAAACCGGAATCGGAATCCCTCGGACGGAAACCCCGACCGTAACTGCTGTTCACCTAAGCTGAGTATCGCAACGCTTACCCGAACAGTGATAGCTTTGCTTCATTCCAGCCCATAAGAAGATCAAGATAGTGAGGGTAAGCTCGCATCTCTCACCATCTATAGACATGTAGCTGAGAATATAAGCCCCGAGCCCGATTATATCGGAGAATAATATATAATAAGCAAGGCAAGAAACGCATCAGATCACCTGCCCGTGACATGATCTCACTGAACGGAGTAATACTATATGAACCCCTTGTATCCCCCCCTCCCCCTCACTGCACACCATCATCATCGTGCCATCTATTTACTTTTTATTTCCTACTATTCTTTTGATCTACCTCAAATAAATACAATAAAACTCACAAACCTTCATATCTCCAAACAAACATCAAACTTCAAATCAACATAACCATCAAGATGCACCCCCTCCTCACAACCCTCAAATCCACCCTCACCCGTCCCCAATCCTGGCTATCAACCAGAACCACCCCATCCCCAATAACAATAACACTAACCACCCTAACAACCATCCTCCTGCCCCTCCTATACAGCAATTACAGAACCTACCTCTCCTACGGCCCCGGCGGCGCCCCATATAACCTCCTCGGCTGGTTCGGGGTAACATTCCTCCTATACCCATTCGGGCGCAACATGACCAGCACCACCGTCTACGAGAAGAAGATCGCGAACGGCGAGACCCAATCATACTTATCCGAAGACACAGTAGACATGCTGAACGCACTGAAGAAGGAGAAAAGGCCCGCCGTGGGACCGCATTATGTGCCGCAGCGCCAGATTGGTGAGTTTGCAGGGGAGGAGGTGAAGAAGGTATGTAGCATATATATATACCATATATCCTATTCGGGGGGTGGAGGATATATGGGGGAGTATTGGCAAGCTAATATGTGGAGCGTGTAGCACCTCGACGAGCAATTCTACGCCCTAGCAGAGCAGAACCCGCAGTTGGTGAAAATCGCTGACTCGAGACTGGAGACGCATGCGGGTGCGATATTCCTTGCGACGGAGGAGCTTGCTAATAGGAATGAGACGACGAGGCAGTTAAATGGCGAGTGCGTGCATGTGCATCGCTTGAAGGATTATTCCTTGCATATGGTTTTGGCGCCTGCGGATTGTGAGTTCTTTCTTCCTTCTTTCTTTCGACTTCCCCTTTTGTCTCTCTGATGTTTTGTTTAATTGGGTTTGAACGTTTTTTGTGTGATGGGATCATGAGGAAAATTGTTTCTTGGGCTATTGCTTGCTGGTTACTGACTTCTGTAGGCAAAAAAGTCTTCGATGCTGGTTGGGGTCAGCGACATGGTTTCAGTGGTGTGAAGATTCCCAGGGCCTTGATGGGCGGTAAATTAATCGAATTGCCATCTGAGTATGTGTTGGTCTATGCGCCGAGGACGAAGGAGGAGGTTACACTGGTGCTGGGTCTCACGAAGGCAAGTCTAAGGTATTTGACTGGCGAGGAGGTGCAGTGAAGAAAGAATATTCCGCAGGAAGGAAGTACTCGGCAAGATCGGGTGTGGTTACGTGTAGCATGACCCATTGTATAATACGCTAGTCAAAATTTGTACGCTAAAGAAAGGAAGAAAGCACCCCTCTCTCACTCATGTGAACTCATATATTTTTTCTTGCATAATTGGGTGGTGATGATCAGGGCACCATGGACTACTAGTTCCGAAACGGACAAAGTGAGATGCGTAGTCCACATGACCCTCAGAGCCTTGCAGAGAATATACGATATTGAACTAAGCTGGAGTACTTACATGACTCAACGCCCCCCTCATCTAACTATTAGATTTCTTCACGATCCTTCAGACTTCAAATCCGCCATCGACAGTAGCACTATGACAACTGCCGCAAGTACAGTGGGCACCGCCCCAGGGCACTAGCGGGCCTAACCGCCCCGTAGATAGGCCCCGACGGCAGGCCTTCCCCTACCCGAAACTGAACCATGGTTCTGGGTTTGCCGCCCACTGCCTGCGTGCCCTGTGCCCATGTCCTCTTCCCATGTCAGACCCGACGACATGGATGCTCTAATCCCAAGCCCGTCTGACGGCCTTGACATGCATGACCTCCCTGTCTGCATGCATGGGTTGCGCTCGGGAAATATCATGGCCAGATCAATGCACGCTCTTGGCGCAAACCTAACGGAGCAGACGGGTCGGCCATCTGTCCCCATCGAAGCCACCAGCAATTCGGCTGAATGGGAGACCGCGTTTCATGTGTCACCTCTGCGGAGCCCGGCTGTTCGTCACAGAAATGCTTTCTCCTCGGACTCGAGTGTCCTACTGTCCCTGAGACTGGGCAACACTATAAGGGAGAGAAGGGAGCCAGTCCCGGGCTGATATTGTGACGGTGCTGCGTCGGCCGTTTACCAGAACAGGTATGTCTTAAAGTCTCCGCATCTGTTTAGGCCCCGATCATCTGTCGCTCAGTCGGACTCGGAGTCACTGTTCCAACGCCACGGGAGACGCCATTGGTCTGTCCCTCAGGGGCGGTCGCATGCCAAAAACTCTGCCAGCCTCGACTTGAACCGGCCATCTTAGGTTGCTGTTAGTCGCATTCATTTTGAGCCCTTAGATCATTGCGCGATACCCAAAGGAGCGGTGAGCGTGTGGATGCAGGTCGACTGTCATAATAAGAAGGGGCAAAAAATCCTGCATCAAAACTGGGAGGGCTAGTGGCAGACTTAGCACCTCCCGACCTTTTAGATTCGCCTACCTGTGCTTTACAATCGTTCAGTAGACAACCCCACCTGTTTCGAGCATTGATGCCGTCATACATTACGTCCCTGAAAGCCTTGTATGTTAGTAGAAAGCTAGGACAGTCGCCGTGATTGGGGAGTCGCTTCTGCCTCGAAGGTGACAACGGGACGAATCCAGGACTCCCGACGGCTCTGCGCCTCCAAAGCCCGAGAAGTCTTTGGCCTCCAATAATTGCGACGGGACTAGGTGACCCTAACTTTGAGTCTTTGACTGGCTCCTTGAGTGGAGCTCGAAATTTTTGACAGTTTCAACCCCCTCCGACCTCGCTTTGCTTCCCCCCCTCCCCTGTGGAAGGATATGGTCATACAGGATGTGACCAGTGAGCGGCTGAACAAGGCAGTTCAATTTGTACCGTTCCACCGCTTCATTTGCTTGTGTACAGCCTCGCACACTAAAAGCCAGGCTCACTTCTGAACCAGGTGAATCACAAGGCTGTCATTCATAGTTGCTTGACAAAAGTGATTCTGTGTGTGGCTATCAAGTTTCCTTAGTCTGTGGCTTAGAATGTAAACTCACTAGTACTTGGCTTGGCTCATGCGAAAGACCTTCCTTAGAATCTAAGCAGGCACGATACGAGCCTAGTAACAACACCAAACTTTCTGCGCCCCGGTCATTGCAAGGAAGTCGGCGCGAATCCTTCGCCTTATAGACAAAGAACACGAGCCGATGAATGGCCAAAGCCATTGTGCCACCGTGCCTTCCAGGCTTGCGGCCGGTCGTATCCTACAGGATTGGTCTAGGGAGCCATCCTGGGCTGCCTGTATGCTTATTCTGTCGGATTTATTGACCCCTCCGGAAGGGAACATCCCCTCCGTCCCCTGGGCCATGAAAGCAATCTCTCCAATGCCCAAATAAGCATGTATTTGACCCAAGCAAGGCGTGCACTCAACAAGCCGTGAATTAGTGTAGTTCGCGCATGGAGTATCCTGAGTTCGGCCTTGCCTGCTCGGAAGTGCGTTTCAGGGCCATCCTGCCAATGATATATGGCCTTTGCCCTTTCTGCCCCCAGGCGGATGCTTGGTCCTGCACAGAGCGGAAATTCCCATCATCCGTACTAAAACGTACGGACGCTGAGTCCCGCATAGTAAGTACTCCCCAACTCGCTCAGCGAGGCCAAGATAGGTACCTCCTTGTTTGTGCCCAGTGGGACTTTTATCGCCCTCCAAAAATCCGGTGTGTGCCGCATCAACCGCTTTTGGAACATCCACTGGGCACATATCCTCCATTGCTCCTTTCTCCACGTTATAGAACCCCCTTTTGCACATGATTTCTTTTGCCACACATCAACATAATCATCTCGTCGTATTATACAATTACCTGAGAAACAAGAAAGAAAAAAAAAAAAACAATGACGTACACAGCCCGTTGCCATAACCCGTGCATGCTGCCAGGAGAGACTGACCTTTCTTTCATCAACAAGGAGCCCTGACTCGCAGACGGAGAATCTGGACGAGACGTATCGCCACACAATGACCGTTCACGGACGCGAATTCCAACAATATTCGATTGATAATGAGATATCATTCCAGCCAGTTGATCGCGTAGAAACCAAGAACCTTGCACTACCGAGAACCATGACTGACATCCCACATTACTAGGACGAAGCGAAGCGGCTCGAGCTCCAGAATCACGTCTTCAACATGATCTTTGATAATCGGCTGATCTTCCCGCGAGACTGTGAGCCTCAAAGAGTTCTTGATTGCGGTCACGGCGCGGGGTCCTGGGCCATTCAGGTGGCAGAAGATTTTCCAGAATGCGAGGTCAGACCGGGGCAAATAGCGCTGCCGTTTTTGACTGACTGACGACATAACTGAAAAGGTTATCGGTGTTGATATATCTCCTCATATGATACCAGATGACGAAGATGACGATTATGATGTGGCGGAAAACTTGGAGTTTCAGGTAAGACTCCTTCCTTTCTCTCCTGATACCTATGAACGTGCGTCTGCCTAGTGTCAAAGCACAAGATTCGCAAGATTCGTCTCAAATACGGATTTTCCTGTCTCTCGAGCTGTTCCCGTCCAGATAATCTAATTTTTGATTCCGTAGGTCGACGACTTGAACCGCCCCTTTACCTTTCCCCCTGGATATTTCGATCTCGTCAATTCGAGGATGATGGCAGCAGGTATCGACGGATCCCGATGGTCGTCATATATACAAGACATCAAAAGGTCCGGTTGGAAGGAGCGGGCCCTAGGGTCACGAATGCTGTGAAGATAATGCGAGACTGACTTCAAGGTGTAATAGAGTTTTGAAACCAGGCGGTTGGGTGCAGTTGGTTGAAATTTACTTCAACGTCCAGTCGGATAACGGTTCGCTCACGGAGAATCACGCATTGAGACAGTGGAGTACAAAGCTCATGAGCTCAGTCGAAGGCGTCAAGGATCTTCGTATAGGCACCCGCCTGAGAGATCTCCTGTTAGCAGCAGGGCTGAAGGAAGTTGAATCAACAATGATACCTGTCCCCCTTTGCGAATGGCCTAGCGGTGAGTTCTTCCAAGCCAGTATTAGTGAGTGAATTTCTGACAATTCAGTAGAACCGAAAATGCGAGACATAGGCAAAGCCAACCGCAAGATCACCCGACGCCTGCTCGCCGCAGTAGCACTCTATCCATTGACCCAACGCCTGCATATGTCGCATGACGAGTTCCAGCAGCTGATCGACCAAGCACAAAAAGAAGCGGAAAACCCAAGCTTGAAAACATATTTCCCTTTGTAAGTAGGTCGTTCGAATGATCCGAACAGATGCTGACGGTTCAGGTACGTTGCTATCGGACGAAAGCCGACATAGAGGGTATTAGGGATGGAGTAGCGGTCATAAAAATGCAAGTTTAGAGCCACAGCAAATCGGGAGTATCGTTGGGCTGCATTGATGATTCGGTACTGTTTGGATATTAGAAGACTAACTTCAACGCTGAAGTTCAAGATAAGCTAGACAATGCCCAGTCAAGGGAACCTCTTCACTCATTCTTCATCCGCAACCAGCTTTCATCCGACTAGCGGGTAGAGCTTCAGTACATTGTCACGCATATTCCCAGGGAATCTCAATCCCATTGGCCGTCTTTCTCTCGACGCCTGTTGGGACACCAGGGAGGTTTCCTGACGTTGGCATTCAGCGTGGTCGAGTCCTGCCGCCCACCAAGGCTGTCCAAGTTATAAACAGGCACAGGATTGCCCGGGGGATAATTCCAGTGGTGCTGGTAAAGCTGATGGCGCTCACGGGAGTATCTTGAGCAAATGCACTGACGGATTCAGTTCGAAATCCGGCTGGACGGCTTCTACTAAATCGAAGACAGGAAGGAGCTATGCAGACAGGGCAAGAAAACATGCTCATTGCAACTGACGAGAGTCAATCGAAAAGCCGGCCATTAGTACCATTGCTGACGACCACCGATGAGGGGAGTGATGGCTCAGCCATCATTAAGAACCACCCCACCAAGAGGGAAGTGCCGGTGGTGAATCGGGTGGCTCAATTAGCTCATCTCGGGAGGTGAATCGCGGATGTTGAACGAGTCATGAATTGTGAGAGAAAGAGCAGAGCTGACACCACAGGAATGGCCACAAACTGATGGAACCTTAAAATTTCAGGGGACACAAAGGGGTAAACCAGGAAGAAGAAGAAGAAGAAGAAGAAAACAAGAGTTACGGCGACAAGAAGAGAGGAGGCACAGCGTTTCGGGACGGAACCAGAGCCACGGGACCAGGTGTGCCTGACTACTGGCCACCGACTGACTCGAACAGAAAAAGACCGCCCCAAGATAAGCTCAGGCCCTGATGCTCTGCTCGCAGCAACCCCCCCGTCTAAAACCACTACAGGAGCACATGGGGCAAGACAATGGTCTACGCCGTCATTAGTACCAGCCCGTCCTCGATCGATCAAGCCCCGTCGCCCCATCTACCGTGTTTCTTTGGGCAAGGACGCGATGGAAGCCCTGACCTTCCCTACCAGCAGAAAGGGCTCTCTTGCTAGACATTTATTGGGGCATATACCGCGCTCTACTACTACAACTGAATAGAATGAATGGTCATGGAGGCTTCCTTAGCATTTCTGTAGGCCTTGTCGCCTATGTTTTCCTACCATTGAGTCCTATTTGGAGCAAGCTGCCGCACAAGCCCCCATAATAACCAGGGGCGCACTCAGTGAACATTGACAAGGCCACCCTCTGTCTGAGGGATACTCAATGGCTAGTTCAGGCCGAGGAGCATGGATACTAGCCAATCTATCGTATACCGAGGCCTTCCGTCAGGTCGAAGTCATACGGCCACCTATTTGCGTGAAATAACCACAGATCTTTGTTGACCCGCTTTGGCGATGGGCCCAAATGGGTCGGGATCAGAGAATCGCAGCACATCGCTTAATAAAACGGGATCATCTCCTCAATTATACGTGAAAGCCCGCACCAATCACCAGGATCTGATACATCAAATCGTTGTGTCATACCAATTGAGCAACAAAGACCAATCCCTTACTGTAGCTGATCTACCCGTCAGACGTGCTGGGCCTTTCCTTTGCTTGCGCCATAGATCCCAATAAAATCTAGTGAATTATCAGAAACATGCCCCATAGCCAAGACCGTAGTGATGCCGTAAGAGCCTCCATCACACAGACGCTCGATCATCATCCCAGTCGCGCTTGGGCGCTTACGGCGGGAATCCCATACAATCCTTGGTGCCTGAATGAAACCTTAATTAACAGGCACCAATGGGTTACCCAATCGGGTAAGCACCCGCGGGGACTCAGAAAAAGTTGGCCGCCATTCGATCATCAACTCCAAGTCTCTCTCCATCACCGTCGCAGATCACAAGAGCCACCCCTGGACTCAACATGCCTTCCACCTACAAGAGGGACAAGCCGTGGGACACGGATGACATTGACAAGTGGAAGGTACGCTATATAACCCAAATCCAAAACATCGAAACACTCGAACCCGACCGAAACTAACCTGCAAATTTGTTGCGACCAGGTCGAACCCTTCCAAGCCGAAGACAATGTCGCCGGTAGTTTCGCTGAAGAATCTTCCTTCGCCACTCTTTTCCCCAAGTACCGTGAAGTCTACCTGAAGGAAGCATGGCCCGTGGTGACAAGAGCGCTCGAGAAATTCGGTATTGCCTGCACGCTGGATTTGGTCGAGGGTAGCATGACAGTCAAGACGACCCGAAAGACGTTTGATCCTGCTGCGATTCTCAAGGCCCGTGACTTGATCAAGCTGTTGTCGAGAAGTGTGCCGGTGCAACAGGTAAATAACCCTGAATTTATGATTTCTAGGTTACCGATAAAGTTACTAACACATTAAAACTAAATAGGCCCTCAAAATCCTCGAAGACGACGTCGCATGCGACATCATCAAGATCCGCAACCAAGTCCGCAACAAGGAGCGCTTCGTTAAGCGTCGTCAACGCATTCTCGGTCCCGGTGGATCCACCCTGAAAGCCTTGGAGCTGCTCACAAGCACCTACATCCTGGTCCAGGGTAACACGGTCTCCGCCATGGGCCCCTACAAGGGTCTCAAGGAAGTCCGTCGCATCATCAACGACTGCATGGCCAACATCCACCCGATCTACCACATTAAGGAACTCATGATCAAGCGCGAATTGGCCAAGGACCCGACCCTGGCGAACGAATCCTGGGACCGCTTCCTGCCTAACTTCAAGAAGCGCACGCTGTCCAAGCGTCGCGTGCCGTTCAAGGTCACCGACAAGACGAAGAAGGTGTACACTCCTTTCCCGCCGGCGCCGGAGAAGAGCAAGGTGGATCTCCAGATCGAGTCGGGCGAGTACTTCCTGTCCAAGGAGGCGAAGGATCGGCAGCAGAAGGAGGAGGTCATGGAGAGACAGCGGTTGAAGCGCGAAGAGAAGATGAAGGAGCGCGAGAAGGCGTTCGTGCCGCCCGAGGAGCTGGACGCAGAGGAGAAGAAGAAGGAAAAGAAGGAGAAGAAGGAGAAGAAAGAGAAGAAGAAGCGGAAGCGCGATTCCGAGGCCGCGGATGTAGATGGCGACGATGGTGCCGAGAAGAAGGAAAAGAAGAAGAAGAAGAAGTCCAAGTCGAAAGAGGATGCGTCGGATGGAGAGGCGTGATTCTTCTGCTGCTGCTGTTGCTGCCTCCACCTTTTGACTTGGTATCTTCTGTCGGTCTCTATTTTCTTTCCTTTGCTTCGGTTATCACCCTTCGTATACTACGTTCGATATATAAGGCGCTTAGGCATAGCATGGGCTGGAGTTTTCTTTCTTTATTCTTCTCACTTATGTGCCCCTGCTATTACCGGGAGGGGATATAAAAAAAGCCTGTGTTGAGTGGGATTGGTCATGTATAACCTACTGAGTTGGGAGCTATTAGTCTTTCCAGCTGACTTTATTTGATATGGTACGAGAATTAAACAGATATGAGTTTCATAGCCAACATTTAAACCCACGCCACTCGTATAATTCTCTATACGTATAGCCCCCCTCAGCATCTCAAACAGACACCCTCCGTAAGTAATATCGTTTAAGCATACACCCCCCAAAACCACCAACCTCATCTATACCGAACTGCACTACCCCCAAAACAAAACTCTACCTACTCCAATTCCTCCCCATCCAACCCTCCCCTCCCCTTCAAGAAACCCCTCTGCTCCTCCCTACTCACTCCCAAATCCAAAAAGGCCACCAAGAACCCAAAACTAAGCACACTCAACGCAAAAAGGAAATAGAATGGCATGGAGCTATTCCCCGACGGCGAGGCATCGATGATGGCGCTTGAAACGAGCGGCCCGATGAATGAGGACGTCTTGCCCACGATACTGAATAAACTGAAGAAGAGAAATTCGTGGCCGCGAGGCGTCACTTCTGATATCATGATCTGGGAGTAGCTGTACCAGGGGCAGACGAAGAGGCCGTAGTAGGCTTGATAAAGCTAGATCATGGATGAAGGGTTAGCAGTTGGTGGAGAGGTGGGGGTGGGTGGATATATATTTTAGTGGTATATAAGGGAGGTGTTGTGTGTGTGTGTGTGTGTGTGTGTGTGTGAAAGATGGGGAACTCACCCAGACTTCCCAGAGATGATGGAAGCCGAACTTCTGGGTCCAGATGCCTATCATACCCCAACCGTCGAGGAGGATGATGGCTATGGCTATGAGGTTGAACATGGTTTTGGTGCTGAGGTTGAGGCGTTTTTGGGCGTACCAGAAGGCGTAGATGCCGACGGCCTGGGCTGCGATGCCGACTAGGAGCAGATAGGTCAATTGGAGTGTGTTGTAGGAGACGATGCTGTTTTGCAAGGTGGATATGACCGTCACTGTTGTGTTGAGGGAATCGCCGAGGAGGAAGTATCCTGTCATATGCTTTTGTCAGTTGTATGTACATGATACCAAAGTGACATATAATAGCTACAATGAAGATATCCCTACCGATAAGATATATAACGCTCTGTTTCAACTTCCAAACCTGTCTCGCCGCGTGAACGAGCTGCTTCAGCCCAGCAACAACAATATTGCTCCCCTGGGGATCCTGTCCTGGGCGTCTCTTCTCCAGAACGAACCACGGTAACGAGACGAGAAGCCAAACACCGCTAGCGAAAGCAATGAGGACGCTCAATCCCCAATTATTGTTCTGCTCGCTAGCATCGACATTCAATGCGAACATAATCCCCACAATAACAGGCAGCACGAACAGCTCTCCGACCGATTGCACATAGAAAGCAATGTTCGCAAGCTGACTGCGCTTCATCGTGTCGGCATGGTCGTACTCATCTCTGGAAATACTTCCTGCGACGTATTGCTCTGCGACGTCCTTCATCTCCTTCGTGTTCCGTGCGAGACCCGGAAACGCTGCCGTCCAGAAAGTCAGCGTGGTCTGGTAGGCGATCAGCCCGACGATATATAGTCCGACTCCGACGTGCCATTTGTCTGCTTCGTGTACACCCAGCCAAGCGAAGCCGATGGCGTATGCGACGACTGAGAGTACGATCAGTATATTGGGTCGCCAGTTGCCAAAGTCTGCGAAGCTGCCGATTATCAGGAAGAGGACGACTTGGATGGCGAAGGAGATGCCGTTGCTTAGCAGAACGATGCTGTCTATGGATCGTTGCTTTCCGGCGAAGTAAAGGGTGCCTTGATCTCCTGCGGCTTGGGAGAGGAGGTTCTGGCAGGCAGTGGGTGCAAAGTCGGTATTTGCTGTTAGCTTTCTTTCTGGGAAAACGGCCGTGATTGACAAATGAGGGCCTTACTGAATAGAGACAGGCCATTGTTGCCTATATAGTAACTGATAGCTGTTGTTTAGTACCAAGTACACAGAATATTGTCTGTAACGCACGCATAATAAGCCCAGATCTCCCATCTGGTGGTGCGAAAGTTGTCGTCGATCTGGTCGGGCGCAACTCGTTGCTCGACATCTGTATCCTCGTCTAGTTCTTGCACCACGTTCAATTTTTCTGGTTTGTGTTCATCACGAGATGGATGATTGGAGGCAGAGGTAAGAGAAGCCATTGTCAGGATTGTTTGACAGACTCACCCTTTCTCTCTGGTTTGTGAACGAATGCACGCTTGCAATGGCCCCAGAATGTAGCGGGGTCATGACCCCGCGCGAATTTCCCCGGAAGGACCAGTAAAGCGAGGCAGATAAGCGGATAAGAAGATCACCCCGAAAGCGGACATGAAGGCATTCCGAGCCAGCTGCGTCATTCTGCAGTCTTTAGGTGTGCGGTCTCTACAACCCATCCTTTTGGATGTGATGGTCTGGAATGAGATGTTCGAGCGGCTGGTATTCTATTGAGACACATGGCTTTCTGTGTCTATCTACAATATAAGAGGTAGCATTATATACACGCGAGATGATTCCTATATACTGGTCATGGTAGCCAGGCTCACAGCTTGGCTTGCCCACTTTCTATCGACGCCCAGCCTTGCTCATCGAGTTTCTGATAGACTGTGCCATTCAGCCAGTACAGCTTATCACCACCCCAATCCGTCCGAGGGTCCCAACCCTTCTTGGTCAACGCTCCCTTGGCTTGCTTGAAAGTAACTCCTGTTTCCACCCTGAAAGAGATCAGCAAAGCCCAAGGCTTGTGGGAGGCAAATGGTACTTACTTTTCGGTTAGTCGGACAAGGCGTGGGAATGCGTACGATGGCACACCCTTCTTCTTCAAGTCCGAGTAAAGTCTGGCCATGAGACTTTCCTCAGTTGCAGGAGAAGCATCCTCTAAAGTGATACCAGCCGCGCCAGCTTGACCATCGTATCTAGCAGTCTCCGTTAGCATTTCATCACATTGTATTTTGCAGGACAGGGGCAAAATCCTAGTATCATACCCGTTCAGCTTTACGCCGTAAACAACCGCATCATGAACGGATGGTATCCGACATATGTGATCCCTGATTTCTCCAGCGCTGACATTCTCTCCCTTCCAACGGAAAGTATCACCGACACGATCCTGGAACCGGACCCAGCCATCGTGATCCCTCACAACCAAGTCTCCAGTGCGCTGGAAGAGGTCGCCCTTCGTGAATACATCCCGCAGAAGCTTCTTCTCAGTCGCATCCTCGTTGTGCAGGTACTCAGTCAGCAAGCCGCGGCTCTTGACCCGGCCAATCGCCTCTCCCTCTTCACCAAGTTTGGCCGGAACACAGAATCCCGTCTTGGGATCCCGGTAGGGCATCTCCGTCTCGGTATCGTACTTGACTATGAACGTATCGTCTTCGAACCATCGCTTAATGGGGCCAGAAAAGCCCACCTTCCCAGCACCCCATGCTCCTTCACCCCAGTTATCAAATTTCGCTACGCCTTCCGTTGACCGATAGAACTCACGAATCTCCGGAACCCCAAATCGTTGGCGGAAGCGTTCCCAGATCTCTCCGCGCAACCCGTTGCCACTCGCGACTATGCAGTTATGATCACGATCATAAGGGGAAGGGGGCGTCGACAGCAGATATCTGCAGAGCTCGCCTATATACAGGATACGTGTGGCTTTCGAATCGTGAACGTCCTTCCAGAATTGAGAAGCGGAAAATTTGCGCCGAAGGCATAAAGTGCCTGCATTTCCAACTGAATAGCAGAGACCGGTAAAGTAGGCCGTACCATGGAAAAGTGGGAGAGGTGAATATGTGCGCAGGGGGTAGTACTTGGAGCGATTATCGAGATCGGTGGTGTTAGGGTTAGACGTGATCAGAGCCATCATGTTGCGGATGGCACAAGCCTTGGGCTTGCCCGTTGTTCCCGATGTATAGATCAGAGCACTCAAATCGCTGATAGATCTTTTAGCGGCGGTTGTCGCAGAAGGGGAGTATTGTTGTAACTCGGACGGCGTGATCAATTGGATTTCCCCTGCAGAGCTGCTGTCAAAGGAACCTAGGTTCAAAGCCACATGAGGCAATTCGGAGCACACGAATTCCGATAGATCGGGTGTTGAGACAATGAATTTGCTTCCAGAGACGTTCAGGCAGTGGGTGAAGGTATCGTCTATCCAAAGCATCGTCAGTAAGTAATCATCTCCAAGACCGTACACAAGAGGCGTCTTATCTCCATACCGCGCAGATTGGTGTTGATGAGAGCAGCAACAGCTCCCAGTTTAGAGAGTGCATAGATTGTCACCACCATTTCGGGGGCATTGGTGGTAAAAACACCAACGAAATCTCCAGTATGAATGTCCTTGGTGTGAAGCAAGGACGCAAATCTATCAACAACTATAGGCACAGTCAGTCAAAGGAGCACGCAAGCTGGTATACAGAGCTCACGTACGATCTTTCAGCTGACTATAAGTCCACGTCTTGTGTTCAAACCACACGGCCTCAGCTGCACCCTGTCCTTCAACTTCCACCACCCGTTCCAGCATCTTATAGAGCGTGGCGGTATCGCCTAACTGGGCAATCCGTTGGCCCAGGCGATTTGCCCATGTTCGTTCTTTGTATAGCAATGAGAGATCGGTCGAGATAGAGAATTTGGCGTTGATATAGGCCCCTGCAGCGGCCGAGAGGGCCGAAGCAATGGCTATGGAGGGGCCACCCAATTCGGAGAAGTACTCCATGTGAAAGGTGAAGCTGTGGTAATATCTGTATGGGAAACGATACTGGTTGCAGAAAATAGGAAATGAGCTTCTTCTGCAGGTTCACGCTCAATTGCTTAGACAAATTCGAGTCAATTGCGGGCAGATAGCAAAGTCGGACATTCAACCCCGCATCAGGAAGAGGTTCAATAATCAGAATATAGGTCTGGCTCCGCTTTGATACGGGGAAGTGGGCAAATATAGGAACAGAATTAAGTCACGAAAATCCATGCGCTCGGAATCTGGGGTCGGGACGTGAGCCACCGATAGCTGCCGTCCAGTGGTGGGGATTACTAGTGTTGACTACGTACACTTAGTCTGTTGGTATGTACTCTGTAAGCATGCTCGGAGAAGAACAAGCAGCGGCAAAAGAATGTTGACCTGGCTTCCGAGAGATGGCACGCGAGGCGTCAATTGGAGGGCGCCTTTCCTACCCCTCCGCATAGATAACACGCGGGCGCAGGTCCCCGAGCCGGATTCCCTTGCATTCTGCACTGTGATTTTAGAGGTGCATCCTTCAAGCCCGATAGCCTTCCAATCTTCTGTAGAGATACCACAGCCAGTTTGAAGTGGTTCCCAATGTCCATCTCATACCAGGCACTTAAAAAGGCGACCACTACCTGGCAGTGTCTTCAGACCTTGATAACTAACAGGGACATGGATATGACTCGACTTTCTTTCTCTGAATCTTCAGCAAATCCGGGGAGGGCAATTCTGGACGCTAAACCGGCCCGTCACTGACCCACTGGATTAACCGACAGTAATGATGCTGTATTGGAGAAGTATTTTACCGGAGGCAGAGTGGCCATCTTCCCGCAATACGTGCTCGTTCTGGAAAAGCACCGACAGCCGAGGCGATAGAGGTGACGGTATCATACCGCCGTGTAAGCAAAAGACGGCATTTTTCTCGGCTGCCACTCACTCACTCGGTCTTGCCCTTGAACCCGCTTGATCTGCAGACGTTTGGTACCGAGCCGAAACTCGTCTCGGTAGCTTTTGGCTAGTAATTTACTGTATTGTCTAACCTTGGGTTTTTGGGAGCCGCGGTTGTTCTTTTGATCCCCGTGTTTGCCCCAGGTTCATAATAATGGTTGTCTCCGGAGTATAGCTGATCCATTTTCTTTACTTATTCCCTTATTGCTTCATAGCCTTCTCTGCCTTTCAGATCTCAAAAGAGGTGCTCCGTTTTCAGAAGCAAATTCTTATTTGTATCCAAACGAGGAAAGAGAGAAGCAGCAGCAGCCTAGATCATGTCTTCCGCGCAACAACGATTGACCTCGATCGCAAACCAGCTTTCGGGCCCTGGTGCGGCGTCTGCAAAGCAAAGGGTCTTGTCCAAGAACCCTGACGACATTGTATGGCAATAATTGGCGCAGTATATTCGTCTCTGGAATAACAGAAACTGACCAGTGGCAGGTGATTACACTGGCCGTTCGGACCCCGCTCACAAAGGCCAGAAAGGGCGGGTTGAAAGACACGAGTCTTGACGATCTTCTCATCTCGTTGCTGACGGTATTGCCATCCCACCCTCTTAAGCGCCGACATGTTCTCCGTCTCATATAGCTTCTAGTCCATCCGCGAAAAATCGAATCTTGACCCCAACCTTGTCGAGGATGTTTGCGTTGGAAATGTGCTGTGCCCCGGCGCAGCTTACGTCGCCCGTTCAGCTGTGCTGGCCGCAGGATTTCCGGTCACAGCTGCCGCTTCAGTCGCCAATCGATTCTGTTCCTCCGGATTGCTTGCCGTCCAGAACATCGCCAACCAGATCATGGCTGGCTCTATTGATGTTGGTATAGCTGTGGGGGCTGAGAGCATGAGCACCAACGCCGACGGTGGTTCTCCAGAAATGTCCTCCAAGATTTTGAACCACCCGATTGCCTCGCAGAACATCCAACCTATGGGACAGACATCCGAGAATGTTGCCTCGCAGTTCAACATTACCCGTGAAATGCATGATCGGTTTGCCGCCAACAGCTACCAGAAAGCCGAGCATGCCCAGAAGGCGGGATGGTTCAACGACGAGATTGTCCCAGTGAAGACGATAATCAAAGACCCCAAGACGGGCGAGACCAAAGAAGTTGTCGTCGACCGGGATGATGGTATCCGCTACGGCACCACAGCCGAGTCTCTGGGCAAGATCCGCTCTGCGTTCCCTCAATGGAAGCCTAGCGCAACTACAGGCGGTAACGCCAGTCAAATTACCGATGGTGCTGCCGGTCTCATTCTCATGAAGCGATCTCGCGCCCAAGAGCTCGGTCAACCCATTGTGGCCAAGTTCTGCGGTGCTACTGTTGCAGGCTTG